TATTTACTACACAATATTTATTAAACTATTACATGCACATGTACAATATTTATTCTATTTTTATGAGTTTAACAATGCTTCCTTTTGTTGAACCATATCAGATTTTATAACACTGCCCGCATCGGCATTTCAATACGGTGCATTATTGTGTTCTGACTTACAAACCGTTGGACTTGGGAACGTGGCTCAGGAATGGAACCCGTTCGTAAGTCGAGGACTGCCATATTACAATTATGAAGGCTCACTTGATTGACTGGTTTGTGACAGTTTGCCTTTTCTCGTGTGGTCTGGTTATGTCTCTTGTGCTCGTTTGACTGTGGGCAGCTGTGCTTTGCGGTGCTGTATATTAACAGCTTATGAATGCCGTTTGCACTAACAATCTTGCTCCCAGCCCACCCCGGCAGCGGACATCGTGGGTTTGTCGAGTTGGGTATTAACTGTCCAATGTGTGGCCTTGATTAAAGCTGCTCACTGAAGCTGCGGGTTGGGAAAGGGGCAATGCGAGTGATGGAGTGTGTGCGATTAAGCAATGCCACCAGCGCTAGAAGATGAACGGCATCAAAGTGCTCTTGCACCGCTCGTGAATAATGTCACCTGTTTAAATTATTACTCGAGTAAGCAATTTGGCCAAATTTGTATTTTTTTGGAAAACAAAACTTATGTAGAGCATAGGTAAGCTAATGACAAATGCAGGACATGTCGCTCGAAGACACGATCGCTGATGGTAAAGAATAGTGATCGAGTGGCAGTCAAGGAATGGAACGCGTCCAGGTGGACGCCAAAAGGCGAGACGGAGCTATGAAATCAGCTTGTGTGCAGGCGCTAGGCGGATTGTTGCACCGTTAGAGATGGTGACTCTTTGGAGATGCCCTTTATCCAGCAGTGAAATTGAACATGGCAGATGATGATACATTCATTTTATTATTATTATTTAGCAGTAAGAAATGTGGCATGTTATGTTTTGGAAAACAAAATAAAGACTATAACCCCGTATCGTATTGCCGACTTTTAACCGTTTAAGCGATATGAATAAATTGTTTTCGTTTCGTTGGCTGATTGGCTAATTGGGAACATGCTCACCACTGAGTCCCGCCTGTGCGTCGCTATTGGTTACATTCATGTGGCCGCCGCCGCCGCCTCCTCGTATTATGGTTTTCTTGGAATTGCCAAATTGCACAATGCAGCGAAAACGGACATTTAACACCCTGCAATGTGATTGGTAAGAGTGGCCTACTATTTGTGGGTTTTGCGTATGAAATGATAAATGACCCACCGCTAAATCATGCCACCAACCTTGTTCTGCCAGCAACATTTGTGTGACAGTTTTACCTTCTGGTTGGCCCACACTTGCCTAACCAGAATCCATGGTATTCCTATGGTTGTGAATATTGCACTTTGGCTGACATGAGTTCCACAGCTGATCCCAGTAGTAGATTATACTAAATCAATGCTAGATGGAGATAGCTGTAAGATGAGATTACATGCATATATTAAAAGTTGTATATAATTTCTATAACTCCTTTGGGAATGACTCCTGATATATGATTTAGTAACCCTAGGTTGGTATTGCTTTTGAGTAAAAAAACAAATATCCACTTCGTCAAGTTATTGCATAATATCAAGCAAACCTTAGTGTATTGTCTTTAGTGAGGGTTTGATTTAGTATTTACAATAAATTATATGAACCATAAACACTAGGAAACACTGATGCGGTTCTTAAAATAATTTTCAAATAATTGTTGTTATTTATGCTGGTATAATAATTTTCAAAGAATTTGTTTGTTGTTATTTATGCTGGTATTACATAAGTGATGCAGGTGTTTTGGAGTCCTCATGAATAAGACACCGTTATGGAACATTAGCACACGTAACATTGTCAAGGGACCTTAGCTACGACAAACTTATCACCCTCTCGCACGTAATCATATTATTTTGTGATGCTGCGTTGGTAGTTGTGCACGAGCACAATTAACAAAAGACTCGACGCATTTATCAATAGCACCGTGAGCTTTAAAAGGAAACATACGTAACAGGTGTTGTTTCGGGCAATGGCCCTTTTTCACTGTACATATATATAGCGAGCCAGAGAGATGGAGCGGATAAGAGAGTTGGAGACTGCACTTTACGCCGTGGGGCCTAATGGGAATGCAATTTAAAAAAATCCCGATCAACAGTTTTTTTTTATTTGGAATGCGAACAGTCATCGAACATTATCATCTCATAGGCAATGCACTGCCTTCGCGGGATGCCTTGTCTGTTTTATGCCAAGAGAACACACTACACGGTAGTGTAGCGGTTCGCGCTCCACTTCGTGGGTAGCGGTTAACACCATGCCCGGCGACCCGAGTTCGATTCCCGCTCACGGCCGACACCAGTGACGATTATTTAAACCAGTCATGAGCCTCCCCGAGGTCGACTCGGCCTCAAATGAGTACCTGATGTGGTGTGTAAACATCAACACTGGAGAGACAAAGGTGGCCGGGCATGATGTTGGCCACGCACCCCCTCATGTGCCGTGCCGGCCTTCATGGTGCTCGCTAACAGCACTTGCCCCAATAGTTTGTTCAGGCTATACGGGGGATCTTTGTCTTAAGGCATCAGAGTCTCTCGTACACAGCCGACATTTATGTTGGAAAGCACGTTCTCCCCGCTGCCTTGTACGTGAATCTAGCGGGAAATGGGGAACGCTCATTGTGAGGAGCGAATGTAGCTCAGAAATTGCCAGCGCTTTTAAAAACGAGGCCTCATTAGTCACAAGTACATTCAACAAGTAATATTAATTTTAACTTTTTTAAAAACACGTTTTAATGAAATGTACCGTACTAGTAATGGAAGAACTCCACGACTCCAGGAAGTTGCCCCAAGCTTGCCATAACGTAAGGGGCCGTAGACAATTACAGCCAACGTCAGTTGAGCGTGGACAATTAGACCCAAGCCGAAACATAACATATAAAAAATAATGTTTTAAAATATATGTTTAATAGAATATAGTATTGTCATCAGTATGACATAAGTATACCAACTTTGCAGTCGATACCACATTGGGAAGTGGGTTAAAATTGAGTTACAAGATTTGAGGATACAACGACAAAATCAATAACAGACAGAGTCAGTTAATAGAAAGCGTGTGAAAAATGAAATGGCTTCGTAACACTTCAGTCTCACAGCAAGAAGGGTCTAAGTTTTATACTCGATTTGGGTGCCTTTTTGTGTGGAGTTTGTATGTTCTCCCCCTGTTTTGCATTGGTTTCCTCCAGGTTCTCTGGTTTTCCCCCGTGGCTCTCTCTATTTAAGGCCTCGACACAGAAACGTTGTCTTTCTGTGTGCCTATGTGTGTGTCTCTCTCTATTTGTCTCTGTGTGAGTCTCTCTCTGCTTGTGTGCCTATGTGTGTGTCTCTCTCTGTGTGTCTCTGTGTTGTCTCTCTCTGCTTGTGTGTCTGTCTGTGTGTCTCTCTGTGTGTTTCTTTGTTGTCGCTCTCTGCTTGTGTGTGTGTCTGTGTGTCTCTCTCTGTGTGTCTCTGTGTGAGTCTCTCTCTGCTTGTGTGTCTGTCTGTGTCTCCGTGTCTATGTTTTCTCTCTCTCTCAAATTTAGCAATCTTTGGAATAACGTAATCAACCAGGTGGGGTGTTGACTGTTTTGTTGGCCGACTGTGTTGTACTGCATTATATTTCCAAGTTTACTATGTTTGTTTTCTCATTCATTTGTACCTGATGATGGTTGCTTGTGTTGCAATCGAAACGTCGTATTCTATTATTATTTAATTAAAAATAATTTCTACGTGACTTTACCGAAAGAACCAAAGAGTAATTCCTGCAGTCACGAAAGCTTTGAATCTAGTTTGAATGTAACTGGTATCGCATTGCTATTGGGCAAATATTCCAATGCTCCCTACTGTGAAAACTTGGCAGTATCCTCCTGAAAAAGAGTCTTAAGATTCAGTGAGGCCTTCCTGGGTAAACAGACATTCATAAAACATAATTAGGAATGCGATGAACCGCAAGCATGCAGTCATAAGTTTGCTACCTTTGTGCAAATTCAACTTAAATTTGAAATGTGTTTTAGTGCTAAAACAGTCGTCTGGATGCAAGTGCATCCATTGTGCATCTTAACATTCTCACACATGGACGACTCACAGCTCACAGATGCTCTGCTGGGTTCTCAGTGGCTTGATTAACAGTGCAGCGCTGTGCTTGCTTCGCTTAATGAAAGTGATTAACCTAACATCATAACGTTTATCATGCAGATGGTGCTTTAAATATGCAAGTCACGTACACCATAGTATCCCAAACGATCCACTTGTTCAAGACAAATGTTCCCAATGTGTTTGTCCTTTTGACTTTGAAATTTTAAAAAAACGAGATTACAGATTAAGTCAAAATTACAGGTAAGGGAAACGCAGAAGAGAGGAGAGAGGGCAGCACTGGTGTCACAACAACGCCGCCGACGACGACGACCCGCAGGGGCGCAGCCGGGGCAGGACTAACGAGGAGTCCCAGGGCATCCTGAGTGGGCTGGGAGTGGACAGCACATTTGGGATTACATTGTGAAACTGACATGAGATTAGGAACTTCACAGATAAGGTCTATACATTGATGGATTAAATGGTATTTCTTTTCAGAAAATTAAACCTTCCCATAGAATTAAGAATTACACTGCCTTGATTACGATGTAACTTTTTTTCAAGTATGGCTGCATGTGTGAAGTCACTTAAGCAACAGCTGGTGACAAAGTCACGTGCAGTAGTTAGTCGAAGAAAGAATAAGAATTAAAGTGTAACCCACTTGTATTGTTATAATCTGCCGAAGAGAGAAAAACTATTTTGTTACCACCTCATGATTATTTGTCGATGAAATCGTCATGTGTGCAGGTGCCAGGTGGATAATTACATTGTCGGATCGTGGGGTGGAAGGCCCTTCATCCAGCAGTGGAGTGACCATGGCTCTCGATGACGATATCTCGTTTCGCTCCCCGCCCACGTCCACCTTTTCCCCACGTTAGCGGACGAGCACGACGAGCTGTCCGTGTATCTACGTCACCTCATCGACAGCTCGGGGCCCAAGTCGCGCCTGCCACCCACAGCCGGCGGCAAGGCCGGGCCGCAGAGGTTCCGCGCCGCCGCATACACGATGCGCGACATCGTCAGCCTGGTGTCGCACGCCCGCGGTCTCGACGTGCCCAGTGAGAATCGCCACGGTCCCCTTGGTGCTACCGATTTCTGCGAACGTGTTGCTCGGCCAAGGGTCAGCAACCGAAATAACAGGAAGAGGCGTTTTAGTTCGAATATGGGGGGGGGGGGGGGGGACACACCCCTCAATATTTCAAGAGCCGCAATGCATGTGATTGAACACGAGACAGTCCTTAATAAATAACGTCACGAAGCAGTCACGAAGCAGTCCTTGAAGAGCCGCATATATGGCTCCGGAGCCACAGGTTGCTGACCCCTGGTGAGGACTACTCGGCCTACCAGACTTTCGTCTCATCCACACTGTGTGCTGCTGCCACCACACTGCAGTTTACAACATCACACTCACCCACTCGTCACACCGCAGGTCACACCAATTTTTGTTCTGCTTCGTCCCTCGTACTGCTGCACTTGGGAATTCCCTCCCGTCCCTCTTCCAAAGCTATCATCATAACCTTGTTCCTTTTCAAGAAACGTACTACCTCTTATCTACTACACCTTCAGTTGGGCCGTTTGCTACTCGCCACTTGGCATTGTTGGGGCTGTGCTGAGCAACCGAAAGCTTTAGGTTTTTTTACAAGCAATTGCAGGTGTGCACTAAGGGTTCTCTTATTGAGTTGCTGAATTGAATACTTGGTCATTTGTCTAGTGAGTCAATCAGCAGGCTGCAAGATATCGGGCTGGCATGGAAAGAGTATGTCAAAGTGCCCTCCTAGAGGGGCTGTCTGGAGTCCCTCCAGTGGAGGACCCCACCAAATGTTATTGTTTGAAATCTGTCAGGCACTGAGGGACAACACACATAAGTGCTTCTTGTTTTTTTTAAGTATTCAAACTTAATGGCCAGATTGTAATAAAGAAATTGTAGTTTTCAAATGCCCTCTTGTGTTGCTTGTCCCAATGCAGATGTGTCGATGTACCTGCCCACGAATGTGCTTGTTGGACCCAGAGCAACGCCAAACCTTGTGGAGGTTCCACCACCGGCACAGGATGAGAAGGTGAGTGAGTGTGCCCATCTCATCGGGGTGGCGCAGTGGTAACGCTCGTGCCTCATAGCAAGAAGGCCTGGGTTCGATTCCAGACTTGGGTGCCTTTCTACGTGAAATGTGTATGTTCTCCCCTTGTGCTTGCATGGGTCTCCTCTGGGTTCTCTGGTTTGTTTCCACAGCTATAAAAAAAAACCATTAATAGTAACTGGTGTTTGCCAAACATTGCAGTGCTGAAAAATTACCTACAAATAATTCAATTGGGATTATACACTGCAGAAACATTGCTCCCCTGCTGCGAAAACTTGGCAGGACCCTCCTGAAAACGAGTCCTGAGACTCTGCGAGACCTTCCTGGGTAAACAAGCGATATAATAATCTTGTGCCTTGCATATCAGCCAATCATTCCATGTGCCAGTTTGTGAATGTAAAATACAACGATAAAGTGTAGGCTGATGTTCGGCAAAATTTTCGTAACAAATATCGGCGACTCGTTAGCGCTCGGAGATGAGCTGAGCAAGTAGGCCTGCGTGTCGTATGCCGTGCCCATGGACAGGAGGCCCTGCACCACGTGCGAGGCACCATCGAGATGCCGCGCGACGCGCACGGCAGCATCGACGTGCAGGCGCTTGTGGAACAGCTCAAGGAGTGCCCCAGCCTGCACGACCAAGTGGACATCCTCTACATCCTCTTCGTGGTCAAGTGAGGAGCGCCCTCCCCCCACCCCCGTAATGTTCTCTTCGCACACAGTGGAATGGGGTCACTCCTTGTCATACTCCCCGTTCGCTCTCTCTCACTTAAGAGAGTCGTCCTCGATTCAAAGCATGGCTGTCTGTGTTGCTAGCCTGAGCCGGTTGTATGCATGTGTGAATATTGAACTTCTTTCGCACCGTACGTAGCCACCATGTTAATTGGAGATGCGGGCGAAGGACAACAAACTCAACACAAAAAAGCAGTTCTTAAGAAATGAGTTTTCAATCTAGATTTAAAAGTCCCTATTTGTGTGTGTGCTTTTTTATGGATTATTATTTCAATTCAAATTTTAGAAGAGCTCAATGTTTCGGGTGGTTAAGAGCTCAGAGCACTGTCTAGCACCGTTGAAATCTAGGCTGTTGTCTGCAATTAAAACTGAAATTTAAGTTTAATGAGATTATGGCTGCACAAAAAAAACGACCACGTTAGATTTTGTAATGCATGTCATCCCAATTGAGTGATTTGCAAGTCATTTTTCAGTATCAGGATGTTTCATGGCCAGTTCCGGTTACAATGCATGTTTTTTTTTCCTATGGGAGGAGGGTTCATTAAAATATAAACCAATTGATTTGTGATTGTGATGGTTTTAAAAGCCAGATCAAGTTTTAAGGCCCAGCGTATTTCCATATACAGTTACATTATTTATCATCTGAATACAGGGTATCAAAATGATGCATGCATCAGCCATTTAAAAATCATTGGCCTAGCATTTGTTGTAAAGTGATAGCCTTTGAGAATTACTTACCTGTAATCTTGACTTAATTTATGTCGTTTTTTTTTTCATTTCATAGTCAAAGGACAAACACATTGGGAACATTTGCCTTGAACAAGTGGATCGTTGGACATACTATGGTGTACATCACTTGCAGATATGAAGCACCATCTGTATGATAAATGTTATGATGTTTGATAAACAACTTTCAGAACGGGGGGAGAACATACAAACTCCACACAGAAAGGTACCCGAGTTGGGAATCCAAATCTGGACTTTTTTTGCCGCGAGACACGAGTGTTACCACTGCGCCGCCACCCTGCAAACAAAACTGTGACCGATAAACGTGACCTGAGGTTTGACGCCTCGTTCACGTGGCACGTTTCCTGGCGTCTCTGCTGCAGGGGTGCGGATTGGGACACGCGCATCTCGGGCCACGACGGCACAACCGTGCGGGACCTGCTGAGCGAGGTCTATCGCAAGGCTGGATCCAGCCAGCAGTGGGCGCTCATCCGGTACATCTCGGGCATGTTGCGCAAGAAGGTGGAGGTCCTCGCTGAGGTAGGGGAGAACCGGCGACCCAGACTCGACTTCTGAACTAAAACTTGATTTATATAGCGCCATTCATGCGAGACCTCACAGCGCTTTACGTAAAACAACACAACCCTTCGCAAACCCTGAAAAATCAAGCTAAAAAGGATAACAGGAAAAAAGGCAAAAAAAATAGGCAGACAGATAAGCAAGCAAAAAAAAATCAGTTTTTAAGATGGGACATGAAAGGCTCAACCAACTCATAGTCCCTATTGTTCTGGGGAAGAGCGTTGTTCCACAGACACGGGGCCTGGCTGCTGAGGGCTCTTGCCTAGTTACCGCAGACTCGTCCTAGTCACACACAGGTGCATGGATTCTGTGGTGTAACTCCCGATTGCCCCCTTAAGTGACCTTTTTGTGAACCATGGAGTTTTAATAAATATTTTGGCGGCGACGAGGCCTAGCGGTGACAGGGCCTACCGGTGGCACGTTCGCTGCTTGTTGCCGAGGTTCACGGAATCCCTGTGCGCTGCGTCGTATTCATTACAACGTTGTGTCTCCATCCCTGTATTCAGGCCGCGACAGACTTGCTGTCTCATCAGAAGCAGCTGACGGTTGGACTCCCTCCTGAGCCACGGGAGAAGACAATCACGACGTATGAACTGGTTTTCCCCCCTTGAGTGCCGAGTTAATCTGCTGCGGCAGGCCATTACCTCCTCTCCCTTGCCCCTTCACTACTCTCTCACTCACCCCTGGTGTGGTACACCAGAAGTGGTGAGACAAAGGTGGCTGGGCATGTGTAATGCTGCCTATGCTACCACTTATTATCATTGTAAAAAGATGAAGGCGCATCCCTGCAAGTGCTTGCTCATGCCACTGCTGGGAGAAGGGCCTCCACTGGAAATAGCTCTACAGAGCCCTTCTAGAGGTCATTTGGCCTACTCTTCTGTATGCATGTATGTTGATTTTATTTCGCGCCGTACTTAGTCAACCATGCTAATAATTTACCACAGTTCACCCCACCACAGGGACCCGCCAATTGTGACTTGCTGTGGTGTACCCATTTATATTAAGTGGGTGAACAGAGGCTGGTGGTATCCAAGAGGCTTGCACCATTGTTTCAGTTGCCACGCTAGCAGATAGAATCAAACCGGCAACCTCGAGATTCCAAGTCCAGTATGCTGACCATTATACCACGACAGCATCTTTTCTTGTGATGTACTGATCTCAACATAATTATTTTGGTGATAGTTGTGTCGGTAGCGGTGCCCAAGCACAAATAACCTTACGTGACAAATCTGACGAATTGGTTGTCTCAGGTGATGGTGGGTTTAACGACACATTTATATTTATGCAATCTAACCCAAAAATCCTCTTATGGATAATATTGGTCGTGAAAACCTACTACATGTTAAACCAAATATCAACTTGTTAGTCAATTACACTGCCTGATGTACTCTGAAGATGAGCCATTGCCGCCGGAGACGTCGCCTATTGTGTTGTTTTCCTATTAAGCCCACAGTGTTACTGACCAACATGTTAAGAGTTTTCTTTTTTAATCTCAGTAGTAGAAGTGCTGCCTTACAGCACTTGCCCTGATGGTTGGGAATGCTAAATTGGCGATTTTGTGTTTGTGTTAGTGAGAGTGTGTATAGGGCCTCAAGGTGCACATGGCCTGGCGCAAACGTCGTGGTGACGTCACTGCCACTTAGTGGCGAATGGCGGTTGTTATTGTGTGTATGTTGAGTTCTGTGTCCATTCCACAGGCCTCTCCCTCCCGATGAATTCACAAAGCTGATATACGAGGCGTGCGGTCAAGACATCAGCATCGCCGTCCTCACCCAGGTACTGATATCGGCTCACTCCTGTCCTGCTGCCTCTCTCTTGTGCTGCCGTTATTTTAGAATCACATTGCTCACCCAACAAAAACAATAATAAAAATCGACATCCAACACATTCTGTAAATTATGACAAAAACCCATCAAGCCAGAACAAGTGAACACACAAGTTGTATTCGCAGCCAATATGATTCACAATTTAGGTTTTGGTTGGGCCATATCATCTGGCCATGGCATTCTTCGTTAGTGCCAAGGCTGCCGTGTTTTAACACAACAATGGCAAGGAGGCTATTTAAAATGTAACTTGCCCGGCGGTGGTGGCTATGCACACCTGTAATCCAGTGCTGTGAAGGCGATGGTTGGTGGATCACACAAATGCTGTGAAACTCCCTTCTCATCATCGGTATTGTCGAGGTGTCATACCCTAGGTTGCCAGGAATAGGTGGTACAGCAAAATGTGAATTAAATCTGTATGGGATAGTGTTGCCACCTCTCATTTGTGGGTTTTCCCCAGGTGCTCTGGTTTCCTCCCACATGTAAGCATTCATTAAATGGCTGCTACCATTTTAATAAATAGAAGACCGCAGAGCTTCAGGGGTTCACCAAGTGGGCTGCCTATCCCATTTGTCTGTGGTCCCTCCTCTTGCCTCCGAGTCGTTCTCTATCTTCGGGAGCGAGTGAATATGTGCGGCGGCTTGTTAAACATTTAAATAATTATTGTATCACGAAACCTTCCTCCACCTAACAAAAAAAACTATTATGAATCATAATAATATTGGCTACAAAAATCAATGAGATAAGTTTACTTATTTCGTGGTCAACTATTCAAGCACGAACCAGGGCTCTTGCCTGCTTAACTTCTGAGATCTGGCCAGTTAGAGCGCATTCCTTGTGATTTTGTTCAAGTCCCATGAAGTGATAGTCGATCTATCGTACTCCGGAGGGATGATGGATTCATTCGACATTTTTATTCTTAATGATAGCGGAGCACAGCAGGATACATAATCACCATGGGGGTGTGTGTGTGTTGTGTATGCTGTAGGAGATCATTGTGTACCTGGCGATGTACGTGCGGACTCAGCCCAGCCTCTTTGTGGAAATGCTCCGGCTGAGGATCGGCCTCATCATCCAGGTCATGGCCACGGAGCTCGCTCGCAGCCTCAAGTGCTCCGGTGAGCCGTACACGTCACACCGCCACCACAACTGCGTTAGACCCACCCCCCCTCAATCACCAATTTTAAATCTCGGCTTGTTCGTATAAAAAGTGTGATCGTAACACCACTCTTTCCTCCTCTTAGCCCTTCTCTTGATTTTTACAAAGCTGTCTAAGCCAGTTCATCTTTCAAGTGACTTATTTGTCTAACTATTCAGATAAATTTCCAACCTTTGAGTGTTTATGTCATTCACTTAAGAGTCTGCTTAATAGCTGTGTCCCATTGGTAGAAACTCTTTTCGTAAAGCATATTTCCAAAATAACTCCTCTTCATCAAGTGAAAACCTTTGTCAAATAGAGTGGTGGCACAGTGGTTAGTGGACTAAAATGAATCCGGTGACCCGAGCTCAATTCTCGGCCAAGGCTAACATCAGTGGGGAGTGATATATGAACTGTTCCTAGCTTCTATCATCCCAACGGCAATAATTTGATATCGAGGTGGTTGAGCCAGATGAATATGTCGGGAGTAGCGTAGTGTGATGATGCCGCTTCCTTCGTGTTTGTGAATTGGTCATCGAGTCGTTACCTGTTCCACGATCTGTTCTGGGTGACCACAGTTGCCGTACACTAACTGGAGGGTTATTAACTTTCAATTTCAGGCGCTCCATAAGCAATCCCTAAAATGTAGTATCAGAGTCTTAAAAATAATAATAGGCTTTATCCTTTCTGGTGTAGATACAGGCGTTAAGATGTTCAAACACCAAATAGGCACAAATTACAAGTCATCAAGTCTCCATTAATAACACATACTTGTGGTAAAAAAATCACAGTATCTTGATTCTGGCAAAATGATACCACAGCTATCTCACACAGTTAAATTTCAGTTTTTTTTCCAATTTGTGGCAAGACCTGTTGATAGGAAAGGTCAACAGCGTTTGACCACGGAGTGTCCTTCACTTTTCGTGACTTTCTCGTGTGCAGGAGAGGAGGCCTCCGAGAGCCTCATGAACCTCAGCCCATCCGACATGAAGAATCTCCTGCACCACATCCTGAGTGGCAAGGAGTTTGGCGTAGAGCGCAGCGGTAAGGCCCCTCGTGGTTGAAACATGGACAGGTTCACGTCCCGGTAGGGACACTTGGGAGTCTGTGGCAAGCGCCACTGATGGACGGCTCAGGAGCCATTGTAGAATGTTGATTGAACGGTGCTTTAAATTGTTATTGCCGTTCGACTGCACAACGCACTTGCCCGGCAATTTGGGCGAGTGCGTTGTTGAGTTGGCTCGTGGATCATTAACAAAGCATTGTATTGCATAATTATAGCAGGTTGACTGCATTTTTATTGCAGTCCAATCTGAATTCGTAAGACATCCCGAATTGATAAGAGATTCCAAAGCCTCCGAGACCTAACCGAGAATATTGGTTGTAGTTATGAGCAGCGGGGGTAGTGCAGTGGTAACACTTGTTCCTCACTGCAGGAGGGACCTGGGCTCGATTTTCCAACTTGTGTGCTTTTTTTGTATGGAGTTCATATGGTTAACTGCTATAGAGTCGATAGATACTATTATAGAGTCGGTATATATACGACTATAGAGTCGGGAGATACTACTGCAGAGTCGGTAGATACTGCTGTAAAGTCAGTCTGCTATAGAGTAAGCATATACGGCTATAGAGTCTGCATATACCTTCTATAATCACCCAGGAATGTCCTTAACCCTCGTGACGTCACTCCACATCGACCAGCCCCCCTCATTAATATTCATGAGCAGGTGACATCCTCCAAATGGACATCTCCCCCACCCTCAGTAATCATGAGCGGGTGACGTCGCTCAACATCGAACAGCCCCCCTCATTAATAATCATGAGCAGGTGACGTAACTCCAAATCGAACAGCACCCCTCATTAATAATCATTATAAGGTCACGTCCTCCAAATGGACATTCCCCCCCATTCATTATAATTAGCGGCTGACGTCACTCCTCCCCCCTCCTCGGCGTCAACTTACAACCCTCACTACAAAGGCAGAACCCTCACGTCACGCGATCTCCGTAACGCTCTTGAGATTTTGAAGTAAAAAGAACTTCATGATGAACATGGGATTATAACCTTAAAATGAAATATGTCTGTTTCACCGCGCCCTTACAAATAGCACACGAATGGATGCAATGAATATCACGTCACGGTCTACTTTTCACTTGCAAGTTTCAGATTGACTGCAATACACCCGTCCTTGGACGAGAAAAAGTCTAGTACTACTATAGAGTTAGTAGTTACGACTATAGTCAGTAGATACCACTATAGACTAAATAGATACTATCAAATAGTCAGATATTACTGTAGAGTCAGTAGTTACTACTTTCGTCGGTAGATACTACTACAGACTGTAGATACCACTATAGTCAGTATATACTGCTGCAGAGTCAGTAGATACGACTAGAGTCAGTAGATACTACTATAGAGTCGGTAGATACGACTGTAGGGTCAGTAGGTACTACTACGGTCAGTAGTTACTACTGTAGTGTCAGTAGATACTACTATAAAGTCAGTAGCTACTACTGGGCTCAGTAGATACTACTGTACAGTCAGTAAATACTACTCACTCTATTGTATGTAGGGTGTTTAGGTATATATGCCTACGCTGGAGGGGGGGGGGGGGGTCGACAATTTGCGGAAACCTTTTAGATCAACTATTTACCCCCCACTTTCTATAACTTTGTGGACTTCTGCAAATCTCTTATAGTTTTTTTGATGGACAAATGGACAGATAAACGGCACGCCGGGCTTTCACAATAGCTTAGTATTTGTGTATGTGTAGTGTCACACCGATACGTTGTAACAAGTCACCTGCTTACACTTTATTCACCTGGTCTTGCGCCAGTTATAGGCACTCCTATAACTGTCTGTCCGGTCACATATACTGCACTTCTCCCCGCTCTTATCTATTCTGCACCTCACGTATCCTGCACTCAGCAGCTCTGCTCTCAGCAACTGCGCACACAGCATCTTCGCACTTTAATGAATCTACACACAGCAACTTCGTATTTCCATCGCTACCCTCACCTACGGTCACTCAGACCTGCTTACTCATCTGTCCCGGGCGGGGGGTTCAGCCAACTCCTGCCCGGTGACGGCATGAGAGTTAAGGTCCCGTTGATGGCTGGAGTGGCAGTGGCGAGATGTCTTCACTCTTGGTTCCCGGCAGCAACCCCCTCTCGCTCACACACACTCTTGCTTATATCCCCCTGCTCATCCCGATTCCTCAGGTGCTTTCACTTAAGCTGTCGCTAGGCCGGTGCCAGTAGTCACATTAATCTCTTGTCATGACCCCCCATCTCCCATCTCCTAGGCGCCAACCTCCGGTCACAACGTAGCACCTGTTTGCCCTCCGTTGCACCCGCTTAACTGTGCGCACCGCATATTTCTCTCCTCTACATATGTATATGTTATGTTTTTAAGAGAAGTTTTGAAATATATTTTTCCCCCGGGCAATGCTGGGTACTTCCCGCTAGTAACTAATAAAAACATGCAAAGTAACTGGTATTGGCCAAGCATCCAAATGCTGAAACAATAATAAGAAAAACACTCAATTCAGATTGCACTTGGCAACATTGCCCCCCTCCCGCAGAAAACCTGCTAGTTCCTGAAATAATCTTGAGACTTTGGCAAGGCTTTTCTGGGTGAACAAGCGCAATTGTAACAGCATAATCTTTCATTACTTTTATCCAAGAAGTCTAGTGTCGACCGTGTGCTTGGGACGTACACCCTCCTATGTATGCAGTGCGCTCGGTGCAGTCGTCGGCCGTCTCCAGCCCGGGAATCTCCATCCGAGGGGTGGACCACACAGGCGCCACCAAGACTGAGCGAGCTGGCATCAGCAAGCTGAAGAGCCAGATGAAGCAGGTGGGACCTTTGGCTCGCCGAGCCATTCTTTTTGCACGTGAAACGAGACGTTCCCAGTTGTGAGTGTGCCGTCTGTACTCGAGTGTCCCATAGCAAAGGCAAGAATGCGGAGAGGACGGCGTCGTTGCATCGCTGGGTACGTCGTGAAAACGGTGACAGCAGCGTAGATGATGATGATGCAAACTCTTGTCGGGCCAATGACTTGCATGCTGGATTGGAGAGTTACCGCACAGGGGCGCAGCAGCCACACTTGCGACGTTGCGGGTTGCCGACTAGCGAATGCTCTCCCGGTGGTTATTGGTTGCACTCCACAGATAAGAGCAGTTAGGGATGTGATCCCTGACATGCAATACCCCGGTGTCTACAAACCAAGCTGTGTCTGTGGCAGCAGTTACATTGGGGAAACTAAGCGACATGTCTCGGACCGGGTTTGTGAACATAAGCTAGATCTGAAACACGGTTGGCCCAATACCTCAGACGTGGCTGATCATTATTTTAACGCTGTGGGCATACACGAAATTTATTTTGCCAAGACGAGGGTACTCTGCAAACACACTGGCTATTAGCAAATATTTGTTCATGAAGCCATCCAGATATATCAACACAGACATAATTTCCACCAAGAAGATGGGTACAAACTGAGCAATCATTGGAAGGACGTTATTAACCAATTTAGGTCATCACTGGCTGTGTTGTTCTCTTCACACCTACCTATGTTAGCAGTTATTTTCGAGTTACATTCACTAACACAGCCACCGTTAGCTGTGTTAGTAAATGGCGGTTTGCCATCCTTTTCCACCTCCATGTGGCGATGACTCTTTCCGAGCTCTCTCCGAGCTTACATTTGCAAGCAAATTTCTTACAATGACATGCTCATCTCGCACAATACAGTGGCCACACCTACAGTTTTGTTTGTCAAGATTTCTCCGACCTTCCATTTACATGCAAATTTCATCTCTAGCCCCGCCCACTGACCCTTGGGCTACACCCATCTCAAACCTTTATAACTCCCTGCCTTAGCAGCGCTCCCGCCATATATTGTTTGCTGCCTCAGCAGCTCTCCCGCTATATTTTTCACCTGATGACGATTGCTTGTGTTGCAATCGAAACGTGATATTGTTATTATTATTTTTCTATCTACATGGCTTTACCGAAAGACCCAAAGGATATGAATTCCTGCAGTCACGAAAGCTTTAAGTCAAGATTTATACTATACACTACACTAACATACACTACACTACCATACACTATACACTACTATACACCACACTATTACACTACTATATACTACACTGTCGTTAGGTGATTAGTCGTTGACAGGGGTGGTCGTTAAGAGGGTTTTACTATACACTACTATACACTCCACTCCACTTATTTTCACTACATTTATATACACTATACTACTATACACTACACACTGGGCTCTATGGAGGCCCGTCGTTAAGCCATTAGTCGTTAACAGGGGTTCTATTGTATAACATGCATTGATGCTCTCAGTCCAGTCAGTCGATGACTGATAAAGTTCCCCTGCCTATGATGTCAGGTTTGTTTTTCCACATGTAAGGTGGCTACATTTCAACTGTGAGATTTAAAAAGTATTGATGAGATGCAATGAACTGTACTGCAATGAACAGTGCTCAGTAGCAGGGCGGGTGGGAATAAGAGGCAATGCAAAGAAGTTGCGGAAGCTCTTCTGTGATATGCCCGTCAGCATGGCTGTCACATGCCATGTGTTATATTACCGATGCTGAACAAGCGTGATTGTGATATGAGATCTGCAAATGTTGAATGGTGACTCATAGGTCGAAGGAGACCCATGAGGTTTGATGCTGGTCCAGCCACAGCAGTGGTTGCTGATTCCGGGCATCGGCTTATGAACACAAATGATGGGGAAATGCAAAAAAAACTGCCAATATGCATAGTGTACCGCCTTTTGTGTGCTGAGATGCATTTGCCTGTGGACCGGGTACACGTCAATGCATCTGTGTGTACATTTTTGCGTGTGTAGTTTTGAATGTTGTGCGACTCATTTCATTCCCTCGTGTTTAATTTGGCATTTAACCTTGTTGACGTGTTGTAATTTTCCTCTGTTTCCCTCCCTCCCTCCCAAATCGACATATGAAACCAGTCCACTTGGTTTGGTCAGTCGTTTGCCGGTGGTGATGCCTACTCCCCCCAATCGACGGTAATGGCCTGCTGACCTTTAGCAGGGCAGAGGTCGCGTGGCGTCTCACAGGCACTGCCGCCCCCTTTCTCCCAACCCCCCACCCTCCACACCTCACGTGACCCTGTCTCCTTCCTCACTGGGTTTAACGCTCGCCTGTGCTGCATTTCCATGACCACTTTTACAATGAAATGTTCAAACAACACCGTGCCTCATTGGCAGCGGTTAAAGTAAGATAGTTTTGGAGGTCACTAATTAGAAACCGGAAACATTATTTTATCGTATGTTCCGTTGGAAATCAATGCACACGACTGTGTATATTGAATGGCTTTGGGGGTGTTATGGAAATACCGAGGCCCTGCCATGGAAATGTGGAATATCCATTGCTGGCTCAGGATGACCGATAGAGACAAGTGTTGTGGACTATGCAAGTTAGAGCAGGGTTACTGTAAAGTCCACCAGTTGTCATCTAGACAGCCTAGATATAATGAGTCACAATGGGTTCTGACTAAATTAAAGGACATCAATCCATAATTATATATATTTACTGATCTCCGGATTTGCTTAAATAATAAAGAACATACTATGCGAAGCAGTGAGTATGTATGAGTTGCATTTAAAACACCTTTTAATTGCCAAATTTCTTTGTAGGCTCAAGTGCGTAGTAATTTTTTTAAACAAGATGATGTAATTGTGCTCCGTATGATTGTAAAGTTACTCATGCCAATGCAGCAAACTGTGCGATTGCTGAATTTCACCGCCGTGTTTTTAAAGGTGGCATCACGTGCGTGGGGGTGGAGGTGAACTGTTCGGCGTAACTCTTGACACGAGTTGGTTGGTTGGTAAAGGTTGTTGTTGAGGTTCACTTCAGGTCCGGATTTGAAAATTTGCCACATTTAAGAGGTGTGGAATGGACTCTTCTTTGTCCCACTTTGAAAAAACGTGGGTTGGATCGCTTGTAACTAGCGTACCTGGAGCCTCTAAAATAAGGTGGAGGAGCCTTTAAGGGCTCTCTACGTAATATATGATGTTGTATAATTGTAGGTCATATATGTAAATGCATTTAATAAAAATATAACTGCTGCACAATATTGTTGTGGGCTTTATTAGTAGCCTAACATTTTCCGAGTAGAACTATATCCAGTAGAAACAGATCTCTGATTCAAAATATTTAACCTCATTCATCTTACTGTGTAATCAAGTGACCCTTTTCCACTACCAAATCCGTGCCGAGCCAGCGCGCCGGGGCCCTCCGGGTTCGGGTGGTTCTCAATTGGCTCTTTGCCGTGCCGAGCCACAATCAAACCATGCTGCTCCCTTTTCACAAGATTTCTGATTCTGGCCTGGGGCCAAGTAGGGCCAGGCACTGGGCGAATGACGCACGCAATGTGTGTGACATCAGCCAGTAACAACTCGAACACTGCGTCAACTATATGCGCTTCGACTCGTTCACTGCGTGCGAAGTCAGCGGCAACGCCTCGCGTAGTGGAAAGAAACAACGCGGCGCTTCCTGAGCCACGCCGGGCTGGCTTGGCATGCCCCCGGCACGGTAGTGGAAAAAAAAGGATCGTTCGCATCAGTCGGGGGTCTCTTGTTGCGGGTAAGATTGAATGCAACTCTTTGGGCTCTCACCAAGGTTCACAGAAGTACATTTCATTTGGTTGGATTTCAGTTGGATTCATGATATTTACCTACGTATTCTTCGGCACATTGCGCAGCTGGTCATGTTATAATCCGAGGTGCATTTACATATCCACATTGTGTATGTATACTGTGCGAATGGGGTGGTCAAAAAGTGTGTATCCTTGTAAAACTCTCATCAACCTAATATGTAGAAAACGCCACACATTTGTTAAATAACACTGGCCTGAAAGAAAATGTATAAAAGGTGCGTTTAGAACAATGGCGCTTCTTAATAGATTATAACATAGAAAACTTTAAATAACAATTATTTTAAAGCTATTCTAAGATTATTTTTAGTGCCCCCTCGCTGTGCTACTTGAAATACAGTACAGGGGTAACATTACCACATTAATACATTACAATATAAAGTGGATTTATATAGGGTCCAAATTTGTCCACTTCCCGAAACACAAGCGGTGATTAATTTCAAGGAGAGGCCTACGGCCGATTAACCGCGCGTGCGCCTGATCTCGTCAGATCTCACAAGCTAAGCAGGTTTGTGCCTGGGTGAGAACTTAGGTGGGTGCCCAATACCAAGGCTTGCCAGGTGTTGTGGTCGTGGGGCTGCGACGTGGCCAGGTGTCATCCCCTTATTTTAAAGTGGGTTTAGTTTTGGTACTTCAGTTTCCTGCCATGGGCTAAACACTCGTGAATGGAATTGACTTAACTTCTCTGTGCAGTGAGGCTTTATTGAGGTAAATAATTGGCACTTATTAGTATTCTAAGGATGCATGTACATCCTGTTTTTGCCATTCCACTGCTGGATGAGGGCCGTGAGGGTTATTTGTCCATCATACTTCACCACGCTGGTTAGTGCGGCTTTGGTAGAGGCTTGGGTGTGTCTACACAATGACAATGGATTTTGCACTGACCTCCACTGCCGACAACACCTACTACTGCTTCACCTGCTTTATGCACGGTGGTGGTCACCCATCCAAGCACTATCCAAGCTCATCCATGCTCAGCTTCTGACGTCCGATGGGATCGGGTGCATTCGGCGGTAACGTGCAACAGTGAAACCCGTAGCCCTTTTTGACCACCCCTCCACACATTACCTTGTGCACATATAAACGTATATACCCGTCTCTGGCCATTGACTTCATTGCTTCCGGTGATCGAAGCAGCCGCCGCCATGCGCCAGCTGGAACTAACAGCTTTGCTTTGCAGAGACTTTGCCACTCACCGCCGCGGGGACCGATGAGGACCTTTGGGATTAACAGAAGCCGCGTCGGTCGCTTCTGCAACCCCGTGGGTCTCGAAACGCCCTCCAACCCCCCCCCCCTTCCCCGCCGAGTCACGCCCAACGACTAATGCGTTTGCACATTTTCTGCAGACCAGAAATCCGGTGCGTGTCGCTGAAGCTTATGGACCTGTGTCTTTTGTGCGGAGTAGACGTCGACGTGCGGAAAAGCACCGCCCGCGTACCCGGGTGAAGCTGTGGGTAAATTAGTTTTGTGAATGCCAGTGGGGTGAAGGAATCAAGTGACTGCTGGCGCAGCTTTGAGAGAAACCCAGAAAGGGTGTGTCTTACGATCTCATAAGAGAGTGTCTTTGTTACGCAGGCGCCTGATGAACTTTTACGTGTACCGGTGTGTACACATCTCTTGGGGATTTTGAGAGTGTCATTTTGTGAGGTTGTTGGGTTGATACTTGATCAGAGGTGTTGTTTTCTCAATTGAAGATACTTTCTGATTTCACTGCAAATGGTTTAGCCTCACCTTTCATGTTAAAGTTGCGGAAAAAAACATTTGCTTTGATCCGAGTTGCCGAGCACAGGGCCCAAAGGCCTACAACACAAAGTGGCCAGGAATAGAGAGCACGAACGGTCTTGAATTTGTGTAATTTAAATACATAGCGGAGATTAGTAGGCCAAGTATACTCTAAAAGGGTTCTAGAACGCTCCCTCTTGTGGACACCCTCCTGCCAGCAGTGACACGAACAAGCAGTTTCAGGTCTGCACTTTTCCATACCTATATTACGGACACCCTTTTCGGGTAAAAGGATGCATCTCGGCGATTCACAAATACTTGTATTTGGTGGCGTTGCTCGCCCTCGGTCCATTGTTTTGGAGGTTTCCATTGATAGTTCACTCCTGGAGAAGAGTTGTGAATTGCCGTTGCTAGCAAGAGCCATGGTCCTTGCTGGGCAGCGTCATACGGCGAGACTCGAGAAACTACGAGGTATTTTTAAATGATCATTCCTAATTATAAGAAAATAAACGGACCAATGCTGTGCAATAGGGTGCAAGTGATACCTTTCCTAAGGCACTTGAATGCTTTGCCCAGTCCAAATATAGTTTTGTGTATTGAATCGTAGCAATCAGTTGACCAATGGTTCATATCTTAACTACAGTCGAGTCTACAGCTACAAGATTTCCGGACACAAAACTGTACGAGTCCCAGTCTTAGCACTAGGATGCAGCCCTCCATTATTATCTAAAGGGATCAGTAGGTGGCAGGGGGTGATGCTATGATAACGAGAAGAGCTTGGGTTCGATTCTAGACTTGGGCACCTTTCTGCGTGGCGTTTGTATATTCTCCCCTTGTTATGCATATATTTATTTAGAGTTCTCCGGTTACGTATGTGACTGCTATTGGTAAAACTTACCAGTGCTGAGAAGTGACCTGCAAATTACTTGATTGGGACGACATGTAGTAACATCGTCCACATCTGCGAAAATTTGGCTGAACGAGGGTCTTGAGACTCGGTGAGACTTTCCTGCGTAAACAAGCGTAGCAGTAATAATAACAGTGAGTCAATTTCAGCACGTATATTATATCTTGTTCGGATCTTCAAGACCCAAGCACTGGAGCAGTGTAGAGTTTGTAAAGGCTGCATACTAAGTTTAGCCGACCTAGTTTTGTGCTCGGGACTATGCCAGGCCACAGCTAAAAAATAATTTGGGCAGAGTTTGTTGTGGAGGTTGTGCACGCATTTGTTTTGTTATTTAAACAACTTTCATTAACTGCCAGTAAGTGTGGAACTATTGAAAATGAATTTGTTGGTGCTGTAAATTTGCCCCATATCTGTAAAAAACGCGGTTTAGCAGTTCGGGTTGGGCACCTCAAGACTGCGTCACAGCGACGTGGAACGTCCCGTCGGTGTCCGTGGCTGCCTCGTATATATCCATGGCAGCACCAGAGATCGCCAATAATAGCTGGGCCCACTTTTAAAGTCGTGCGAGTGCGCAACGCCAGGTCTGGCACCGGCCTATTTAGAAAACTCGCTGTGAGAACGAGCAGGTGGTATATTCAAGAGACCGCCAAAGAGAAGGGCCTCTGTATCTCGGTGGTGATGGGACTTTTGGTGATCCTCGCGCTTGGGAACGCAGCAATGATCCAGTGATGATCTTGTCTTGAGCAATGCATGGCAGAATCTTTGTCTGCGGCTTTTGGTGTACTGCGTGCAATAAAGTGATAAAGTGCGCTACACAAACCACCCTAAGCTGATCTTTTAAGGCTGCAAAAATGTCTTGCTTTTTTTTCCCTTAACTTTTTGGTCAACACGCTTGAAGAAAGATTGATTATTTTTTCACTTATTTTTTTTTTAAGCTTCAATTTTTTCAATGTTTGTTGCATATGAAACGTTACATCTGTAAACTATCAAATATGTTTGAACTATTGGAACAATTAGGTTGGTTGACAACAGTAATTTGTCAGTAGCTTTCTTGTAATGTAATTGAATGTTAAGAAATCAAGGTTAGGGAGTGTAGACAGTTAATGTTGTTTTGCGCGTATGATACAGTGTTTTAACTTTACTGCGTGCTGTGTGTTGTTTGCTGTGTCTGGTCTAAATGTTCCTCTTGCCACTCTTTCACATCTCTTGCTACACCTGACTACCTCCTTTCAAAATCTGCTGCTGCCCCAAATCGTTCGATTAACTCTCCTACGTACACACCGAGCTCCACCGTACATGTCTTCTCTGCAAAATCCAACTTTTTCTGATCGATCGCAAAACATCATTCCGTCTTTCCTCCCACTATCATCGCCTTTGTCTAATTTCCTTCCCCCATTGGTCACTGCGGCCTAACGGCCACATCCTGCCTGCGGCCTTCACCGCTTCCGCTAAATTCTCTGCCCCTCCACGTTTCTCGCGTCTGTCATCCGCTACTGGCGGCGCCATCCTCGCGTTTGTCCCCACCCCGGGTAGCACGCGAGCACGCCGTCGAGCCCCACGGCGACGGGAGAGACGTCACCGCTGGGCGCCGTGCTGGAGCAGCCAGCGTGGTATGACCGCCAGGGCCAGTGGCTGCGACGCCGGCGTCTCGACGGCGCGCTCAACCGTGTGCCCATCGGCTTCTACCAGAAGGTCTGGAAGGTCCTGGAGAAGGTACGTTGTGCCCCCCCCTCCCCCCCCATTAGCTGAACGCCACAATGGCGATGCTGCTGCTGCTTTGGCAGCGGCGCGCTACTCGCACGCATTATGACAACTTGACACGTTTGCCAATAATGCTGCCCTCGAGGGAATATTTATATTTACTGTGGTCTCTGCATGTTAAGATGCGCCTGTTGGCGTCATCTGCTTCAACACCATGTGAGACTAGGCTCTAAGAAAAGCTGTCTCGGGTGTGGACCAATCAATTTCAAGGACAGTGCATACATTATCAGAGTTGTGTTTTTTGTTTTCATTCTGAACGCAGGTATTGTGGTCAATGCAAACATGACTCCTTGTAAAAAAAGGTGTCAGTTTTGTTGCCAGATAAAAAAGGTAAAAAAAAACAATTATCATGATTTGGAAAGTAAAGACGCACCCCAAACTTGTGGCTGGTGTCACTGAAGCTCTACAAATCTGCTCACACACCTACCAGATTGTATGACGCACCACCAAGTTTTGATTTGAAATACAGTAAAAGAAAGCTAGTTTTTCTAATCTGGAATATACAGTAATCGTCGACGTTTTGGACAATGGCCCTTTTTTAGCAATACGATAACTGATTTTTTAATTCAACTGGTGATTTAACCCCACAGGCGACACCGTTGAGAATCATACGGTGCCTCAATGTGTTGTTTTATGGCAGTAGCTACCAACACCATCCGAGCCAATGATTGATTTGCAGCAGAAATCTTGCCCGCATAATTTATCTTTGGCAATTAACCAAAGGGCTATAACCAAATCAACCGCACCTCTGATCAGCACGGTTGGCTACATACGGTGCGAAAGAAGTTGAACAGTCATACATTCCTGGAATACTCTCCATCTCTGAAGCTAAGTTGGATTGAGCCAGGATATTGTAAGGGTGATCACCATGCATCACCAGGTTGTCAAAGGGCTACAGAACTGTGCGGTGGGCAGCAGAGGGCAATACAGCTAAGATCATTGTTGTGCTGTCCTTTGAATGCTGATACATCTTTGCTCTCTCCACCTTCACTCTACAATGACCAAATATGGAAATGGGCCCTCATCCAGCAGTGGATTAACAAAAGCGCTGTACATGCACCTCCGATTAGCACGGTTGGCTACGTATGGTGCGAAAGAAGTTCAACTTCCACTCAATTTACAGTTATTTGCTGTCAATGCAAACAGGTAATGTTACGAAGCCAAGAAACAAAGATTGACAATTGTTCTGGTGCGTCTGCTTGCAGTGTCACGGTCTCTCCATTGATGGATTTGTGCTGCCTTCCTCTGCTACAAGAGAGGTAAGGCAGACACGCTTGTGCATGCACGCAGAGATTTGGTTCCTTTGGTATTCTTGCAGTGGAGGGCAATCGTGAAGGAAGGCGCTATCTTTCACAGAAGAATATAGTCTGCCAGTAGGGATTTTTTTTAGAATAGACTTGTTGATGAAATGGGATAATGCCATGGTGTAATTGGTAGCACAGTAGACTTGCAACCCAGAGCTGATCTCCCAATGGTGCAGATTTTTTGTATGTACGGGCAGGCCTTGGGTTACGAGCAGAATTCGTTCCTGAGACCCGTTTGTAAATCGACCATTTCGTTCAACGGAACACAGTAATCTACTATTTTTTTAAATGCCCATACGGTCAGTGTTATGAAATGTGTTATGGTTCAGCAAAAAGAGAAACATTGTTACACTCATACTTAAAGAATAAAATATTGTACGTTTTCATGTAACACTATAAAAAATAATGTATAGTAAATACTTTATAAAGTAACAAAAAAACTTAGATTTTCACTTACCTTGAGTTCTGATGCTAACTTGTAGTCAGAAGGGGGGCAATGAGTCGCCACAATTGCACACACACACGGGGCACGTGCTGCACACACAGACAGACACACAGAAGACAAAGATCCCCCTATAGCCTTAACATACTGTTGGGGCAAGTTCTGTTAGTGAACTCCTATGAAGGCCGGTACGGCACATGGGGTGGTTGGCCAACACCACGCCCGGCTGCCTTTGTCTCCCGAATGGCGATGTTTTACACACCGCACCAGGTACTCATTTGAGTCTTGAGTCGACCTAGAGGAGGCCCAATTATCACTGGTGTTGGCCGTGAGCAAGAATAGCTTTCGTAGTGCTGCGCGCTAACTGCTACACTACCACTCCCCACACAGGCCGACTCATTACATCTCATGGACGATCACTCCTCTGAACAGAATAGTTCCGTGGTTCAGTTTGCAATTGCGAGTTCGCGTTTTGAGTCAACGTTATTTTTTTATTTTGTGTCATGGAAGCTGGTTTGTAAGTACGGGCGTTCGTAAGTCGAGGATTGCCTGTTATAAATCCTCTGCACCTCTGTACGAATGGGAACATTGAAGTCAGTCAACGGGCAGATCTCATGTGGTGGGCTAAAGTGTGGTATCCGACCACCTCTTCCAAGATGTCTCGTCAGCGTGGAAGAATAGAGCAAATACAGGAGACTCGATTAACCGTATGCGATTTATCCGATTTGCGGATTCACCGTGCAACTGAGATTTTGACATAAATTAATGGATTTTCCCTTAAGCCCCAAATTAATAATTAAAAAACAGTTCTATATTGTTATTCTTGGAAATGTTTATTCTAAGTCAAATGGTTAAACCGATTAAATGTGTGCTCAGGTTAATCCGAAATCCACGTGATCGCTTCCACAGTGCAGTAGTTGCAATATCTTTACAACATTGGCGTGTAGTTTGATTCATGTTGATTGATGTTGATTGGCGTGGCTCTGTTGTCCACATAGTGGGCCTAGTCTTCTGCACAGGAGCAGGATCGGTCGATCGTTAGTATTTGTTCTAAATTGAAAGAGTAACAATGAAAATCGTCAGTTGTGCTTCATTTTAAGTGATTTATTCGATCATTTATTTAGTGAGTTGAAATTTATACCTATATTAGTGGCTTTTGGCATAGAGATCCGCGGAAAATGGTTATATTTTTGGATTATCCGCGGCTCCCCTCTCCGTAATTAGCGCAGATAATCCAGTCTACTGTTTGCCATTTTAGAAAAGCTTTCTAGGGCTTCTCCTAGTGGTGGGATAAAGCTATTGCTGGGCTTAACATTTTTCAGTGGACTATTTCTCATGAAGGTGAATGGATGAATGAATTGATGCATGGATGAATGAATGGATAAATGGATGTATGAATGGATGGATGAATGAAATTGATCAATGAATGGATGGATGGCCCGGCTTGCCCAGATGACGCCGGGAGAGCTGAAGTTTGCGGTGCACGTGGAGTCGGTGCTGAACCGCGTGCCGCAGCCTGAGTACCGGCAGCTGCTGGTGGAGGCCATCCTGGTGCTCACACTGCTCAGCGACATGGATATCCACACGCTGGGTGGGATTATCCACATCGACCGCATCGTGCACATCGCCAACGAGTTCTTCATCAGTGACCAGGTGGGAGACCGGCTCTGCTCGGCTAGGACCCTTGAAAATCTCGTACGTTTGTTACTTGTGCCATTCTTATAGCTAAAGGCTATCACAAAGGTGCTATGTTGCAAATAAACAGTCTGCTGTAGTTGTTATAGAAAGGGGCGATAACCCTAATTGGGTGCCACAGTGGCGAGGTGTTCACTACCTCACCTCTTAACAGGAGGTCGTGGGTTTGAGCCTGACCCTGGCGCTTGTAAATTTGGAGTTTGCATGTCTCTCTCCTCGTGGTCACGTGTATTTTTCTCTGGGTTCTCCGGTCTTTCCACCTCCGCATTTAGAATCGACATGCATTTAGAGTTTTTGGCTGCTATAAATTTCCATGTGATATGCCACTTCATTGGGCTATCATTTGTGATAGCCAGGTCGCTTCTGAAAAAGAGCTATGTAGCTCAGTGGGCCTTGCATGGTATAATAAAAATAGTTTTATAGTTTAAGGGTCGTTTGCAAGTGATTCTTAAATTTGGTAACATTTGGACCGTGAAACGGGCACACAACTCTGTTTTGAATGACGTCAGGGGGAATCATCAATGCACACTGTAAAGCAGACGGCGGGTATTTCATGATCAACGTGCACCGCGGTAATCACCGGTTCAGCCTGTCGGAGTTGAACCCCATGAACCTCCGTGGCATGCGGTGACGAATAAGCCGTCGTTGGGCCGCATTGCCACCCGAGCCTACCGCTGTGCGGGAGAGAAAGGCCGCGGGTTGCTGATGGATGGGAGGTGATGGGTGGGACTTGGCGACATCATGGGCATTGGTTAATTTGTGCAGAACATTATTGTACGAATGTGTTGAAGACGTTGCAGTAGAACCACTCTTAACAGCGGTAATTGGTTCCACGAAACCGGTCGTTCAGTGATTTGGTCGTTGAGCGAGAATAGGAAATGCATGTTAAAGGTTTAGTTTGTTCCGATAGCATCGAAAGTTACCCTTTTTCACCCAAAAAACGTACTTTATAATATTTAACGATGGATATAAGATACTAACGACATTATAAACACGTAATATAAAAAGAAACATGGTTAATAAATGCATTAATTAATATTTACTGTACCTACAACAGCCCGTCGTTAACAGGGGAATGGTCGGTAAGCGAACACATTGAGCTCTGTGGAGGCACTACACATGGCACTACTATACACGACACTACTATACACTACATTACTATACACTACACATTGGGCTCTATGGAGGCTCATCGTTAAAAGATTAGTCGTTAACAGGGGTGGTCGTTAATAGGGGTTCTACTGTACACCTATGGTTTGTTGATCGAGTAATCAACACATTGGGGAAATGTGTGGGTCCTACCTTCAGCCATCAGTGGCGTTATTTTAGGGCTTCACTTTTAACCATTACCTAACAGATTACACTGAATTGCGAATACTCTTTCACAGTTTCCAACTAAGCTTGAGGCATTTCATCTGTAATGTGTGGTAACAACAACCCTCGTAAAGATAATCTTCTGTAATTGACATTTAGTGTAACGTTGTGTTGCTGTCAGGGACTCAACCTACTGAAAACCGGCCAGATTAGCCAAAAACAAACACACAAAGGAGAGCAAAAATAACTATTTAAAAACAGCTAGCCGCCGGCGTCCTGTACTCGGGATACAGCACCATGACAGCGCGAGTTGGACAGCGTTTACGGAAAGCATTCCATAAAGCCACGCATGACTCCCGTGCCTTGCTGTTCAATTCTGACAGAGGTCTCTGGGTGCTGACGACAACATGCTGGCCATGGACCCGAACACGAAGATCTGCCACCTGCTGTACGACAGCGCTCCGAGTGGGCGCTATGGCAGCATGACGTACCTGTCCAAGGCGGTGGCGACATACGTGCAGGACTTCCTGCCCAGCGCTGGCTGCTTCGTGCAGTGACAAGTGCCGCCCCTCCCCCCGAGACCTCGGCTGCAGTCGTAACGTTGAGCTCCGTAGGTTTGTTTTTCGTCGAGTGAAAAAATGTGCTGCTTGGTGTTTAAGCATTTCATTTGCAGATTTAATAATTTATTGTTACTTTCGTTTTTTTTTATTGACGGTGACATCCGAAACGGTACGTTTGTCACACCACGCACGGTCGAATTAACATTACGCATGGGTGCGCTGACCACAAACAGCAGGAAGGCACGACTCCCCATCACGCCTTGCACGCTTGGCATGTGACCGCCACATTGTATGCGCAATTCTCACGGCCTTGTCTCAGCCTCTTCGGCGCGAGTCGCGTGTGCGAGCCGCATGTACGAGCTTGTGTGCGGATGAGAATTGTGTGTCGCCTTCCTGCCATTTGTGAGCATCACCGTAACCTTTGCGAGTTGCTTTTTCTGTTTGTTTCCAGCCTACATGTGCTGATGTCGATTGAGACTATTGCATTTGTGAATGTTATATCTGCAGGTATCGCAAATCCCAGTAACATTGAGCTATCTAACCCTAGACACGTGTAACGCTTTACATGTTAATTAATTAAAATTGGTTCTTAAAACAATATGCAAACTCCGTGCAATCGTGGTACCATTAGACGAATGGAACGGACATGACAACACAGAATGTGACAGTTGTACAAAGTCCTCTTTTGCGTGACAAAAGAGTTGACTTTCGAGTTATTGGGAATTTCATTGAACCACATGAGGAGTGAATCTTTGCAATCCTGGACAAGGATGCGTGGGGGGCATTGCTCGGCTCTCATGAGTACAGGCAGCAAGGGGTCATTGTTTCAGGAGTGTTTGATTTGTAAGCGAAATAGACGTGTGCAGGTTTTGATGTCAAAAGGGCCTGGAAGAAGGTACATTTGTTTACTGTGTTATTGTTACATATAGACATCATTTCTATCTTACGTGTAACATAATGATTATTTGTTGGCCGACTGTGTGCCCCTCCTGTTGTGTAAAAAAGCAAGGTTCTCTGGGGTGGTGTGTGATTTGTGTTTCTGCTCACCTGTTGCCCCGAAAACCATGCATGTGCACGTGAACTTTATGCGATGTTCGAGTGGAAATTGACAAATTATTTGCTCAACTTTTTACTCGCCACTTGCACTTTCCTGTCTCACGGTGGAAGTACCGAGGCTGCGAGTTGCACAGCTGGAGTTATGGGTCGATGAGTGTACACAAATGCTAATAAAAAATATATCCTCTGCGCATCGCCATTCATGTGGAGGAGTGGTAGCTCAGTGATTCATGTGCTGTTTTGCAGTCTCGGGGAACCAGGTTAAATTCCCTCTGGTAATCTCGTCAAAATGTTACCTCGCCTACACCTTCCACAGTTTGACTGTGTTAAACGAGTACCTGGTGCGCAATGCTGTGGCTTCATTCTCAACGCAGAGAAGAATCGGGTTGCTCGGCATGCCGCAGTATGAGCTGCACCTATTTGAGGGTGCCGCTGGGCGTTATGGTTGTTTTGCCTTCGCTTGTCCTGAATGTTTGTGACGCTGAGTGAAGGCTCTTTTGGTGTTGTCTGTATGCGTATTGTGTGCAAAGGTTTCGGCACTCTCACTTCGGACGTGCTTGATATCGTCAGTGACTGGAGCACGTCAGTGTAATAGGCCACAGGGCTTATGGAAATGGGCATTGCTATGTGCCAATTCTGCAGTCGCATCCAAACATAAACTGGATCTTTCTCTAGCTCCGTGTTAAAATCGCAGAACTAAATACTGTAACGAGTTGGAACTAGAGTGAGTTCATATTAATTTTGTTCACCAATTACTACATCGTCCGTATAGGCCTGGTTCCAGCTCATCATATATATATAACGATGACTTTCCGCTAAGAAAAGTGAACTTGGGTTTGTTGAAGGTGTATTTGGTGGTGCAGCACATATCCCAGCACCCCACGAGTGCCAGCCCCATGTTGCTACAGGCTTTGATTGTATGTGTACGAATGTTACATGTCTTGGCAATGATTTCCCATGGGCTGGGCTTGTTTATACATTTGCTGCAGTTTAAATTATTGATTACGTCTGATAATGTAGCTGACAGTGGTGCTATGTTCATCGACTAAAAAGTAAGTTTAAACATCTTGACTTAAAGCTTTCGTGACCGCAGGAATTCGTATTATTTGGGTCTTTCGGTAAAGTCACATAGATAGGTTCAAATTAATAAAAAATAAAATTAACAAAAAACTACGACGTTTCGATCGCAACACAAGCGGTCTCGTCATCAAGCGCCTGATGACGACCCAAAGAATAAGTTTAAACATTTGAAATTCTGTAACTTGCTAAATTGGATAAATCATATCCTACAACTAATTTAACCATTACAAAACAGCCAATGGAACAATATAGAAAGGGAGGAATTATCCTTACAGATATTTCTGACTAAAATGTGTAAATTAGTTCTGCGGTTAGTGTCTGGCGCAGAAGTTGAGGTGCTACGCTATGAGCCCCTGCAATTTTGATTGATTTACAGACACCGTGAGTATGACATTTAAACTGAATGACATTTCAACTCAATCTGCCACCCCACCTTCACCACCCCACACTTACCATAATGGTGATGTATGTTAAACAAAAAAAATCCCATTATCAACAAGGCATGGGGAGGCGTTAACTAAGCAATTTATTGGCAAAAGCCCAAAATATACAACTTTTGGTGAAATTTATGAGAAGCGTTTCAGTTTTCCAACGATTGTGATTGTAAAAAATGTAATTATGCAGGACGATGAATGATGCGGAGAGCGAGCACTTTTGAAGGTTACGACGGGGTTGTTTTTAAGCACTTAAGAGACATGCTCGTCAGCGTTCAGCTGCGTGAGTTGGCCCTATTTGTAGTTTAATAGATGGCGCTGTTAAAGCATGTGGATGCAAGTCGATGCAATTTGCCGTGATTACAATAATTACATTTATATAGCATGTTTAATCAAGGATCTCGAAGTGCTGTACAGGACACAGCAGCAGCAGACAGCATAATAATATAAATACATTTAACAAAAAAATGTAATACGATGTATGCAGTCACTTGTTTCATTCGCCGAGTCTGATTTCGTTTCAACATTGCAACTCGCTCGCATTATTCGTGTTCACGTTTCCATGTGCACGTTTGTGCAAATTATTTTTTCTCCACATTTCAAAAGCACGCACGAGGAGACACGTAAACGGGGCATCTCCTCTGCACACCGCCCCCTTATCCCTTAACAATGTTTTGAGTTGCAACGCCTCGTTCGGGGATGGAATTGCCCACTATCTGCACCTCCTGGGGCGTTGGAAATAAATAAATAAACACGCAGATATTTACAGTACATGACCGAATTGCGTCTAAAACCCAATAGTTTGATGTTTAACACAGTAGTAGTAGGCTTTCGCGATCAACGTGCATAAGAGGTTATATATGTCGGTAAACCCGCCACCTCCCGAAACAGCGAATTAGTAAGGTTTTTTCACGTAAACAAAACATGCAAATTCGTTACGACCTACAATATTTACAATTCGAGTACGACGTTTTGCCAGTAATTACAACTTGCATCATCAGGCGACAGCCATAGTTGTGGAGAAATCCTGTTTCGGTCTTAAATAGAGAGGTGCGGGGGGGGGTAATGTGTTCATATAAATTACAATGGACCAATTACCGGTTGGGTTATTCATGTGCATGCGCAATGCACATACATTATGCACGCACACCATGCATGCGCATCCTGGGGTTGATGTTGCTGACTTGTGGAAACCCCCCCCCCCACCACCTCTGCCCTCTATGGCAAACGATCTCATCACCAGCACAACGCTGCTGTTGATTCGTGTGATCCAAGCTTTTCATAACTCTCCAAGACCAGAAAAAGTACATGGAAGCCGCTGGGCGAACCTCTTTATTAAAAGCGAGTGATAATAATGACGAACCGTTTTACGTTTGCCTGTACACAACTCACTCCCTGTACGATGTATTGTTTTCCTTGACCTGCAGTTTTTCTCCAATTAAAACATTACTTTGCTGACATTTCGAAGCCTTTGCCTTGCTGTGTGTCTGGGTGTCAAGATGTTATTCATTGGTTTAATGTATATAGACATACATGTGTAGTGACATAGGACGTCACTACTGTGTCGGCCCGTACGAGGGCTGTGGGCCCCACGGGGCTGTCGGGGGGTCACGTGGTGGAGGGACCCAGACCTTCCCGTGAGATGGGAGAAGGGACGCATGGCCTGGGAAGGGAGGCGTGGCCTGGGCAGAGCCGGCCACGCCAGAGGAGATATAAGCGGGGTGTGGATGCAGAGCAGGGCTGTTAAACTCTGAAGTGAAGACGACATCATCGGTCCTCAAGTCCAGGGTCGTCGTCCTGGACCAGGCAGCCCGTTGCCTGCCTGGTCCCCTCTGTGTAGTGTTCCAGAGTGTTAGTGAGTTGAGGAAGGTGGTCACCACCTCATGTACAGTGTTATATTACTTACGGTTAATAGTGTTGCCTCCAAGCTGTGTGTGTGCACCTAATTAGAACCCACTACACATGTTAGAGTGTCATTGACAATTTACTGACAGACCAGTCTCTGATGAAATCACAAGTTTAGATACGGTATTAGACTACTCCCTGAAGTCTACAGCCGCATCTGATGGGGTTTGAGGACAACCGACTGGTCTTGGAGCCTTTGGACGATAAACTGTCAGGTTTGACTTTTGGGTATTTGACATCGACGGGGAAATGTCTTTGAATCCCCCAGTCTCTGTCCACCCAGCAGTGTATGGGTATAGCACAGGTGCATGTGGTGGTGTGAAGTGTGGGTACTCTCATATTTTCTAAGACATCTGGACAGTGTGGACGAGTCGGCCAGAATTTCCCTCTAAAGCGGCTCTCTAGAACTCCCTTTACTGGATGCCCTTCCTCCAGCAGTGGTATATGTAAGCACTTTTAGAGCTGCACCTTTAACTTTGTGGTGATTATAATTTAAGGTTACCCAGCCTTTTAATAAACAAGTGAGCTGTTTTGACTCCAAGCAGATCAGTTTTTGGACTAAAATTTAGACACCAATATTATTGTTCATAATACAGGTTTTTTGGTTTCGATCGCGTAAATATATAAATGTGTCGTTAAACCCGCCACCACCCGACAGCCAACTCGTAAGGGTTGCCTCGTAAACAGAACACGCCGACTTCAGCAGTTTTTTTCTTGCTGCGGTTGTCCCACCTGATGACGATTGCTTGTGTTGCGATTGAAACGTCGTGATCTATTATTTTCCTACCTACGTGACTTTAACGAAGGAACCAAAGAGTACAGAACAAGCTAATAATAGCCATTTTATATACTTTTTAAAGCATAAGCAATTACGAAATAACACTTTACTACCCATGAACAAAAATTTGTTACATAGTGGATCCTCCCAGACACCAGAAGAAGTTAAGGGACAATGTGTGGGTTTCGTAACCGTCATCAACCATGTAAATAAATACAATACTTGCAAAAACTCACATTTTTATTTAAATGTTTTACGATTTTTGTTCGTGCAATTTGACTTTCACCATAAAAAATGCAGTGTTTTATTGATTGTAAATTATTAAGATTGTTTACATTCCGTGAGTACAGAGGGACTGAATCCGAGTCTATTACTAATTTATAATTGCTTCTACAGACATGAAAAACCCAGGCCCGGGTAAAGCTACATAGTCGGGAGTCAGAGCCATTCCCTGTCTACCTTGGGGTGCGACAGGGATATCCTGACACCTACATTATTGAACATATTTTCGACCGCGTAGGTCAATAAGCAGTAATTTACATCTGGTACAGATGCAATGGGAGGCTGATCAATGCTCGGGTGCGGTTGAGGGATGACTCCCTATTGGTCAATCATGTTATGTATAATGATAATACTTTGATTGCTGCTCATTGAGGAGGAGTTGGAGGCACTGCTGCTGAACCTGAAGTGTTCTACTAAGAGGTGGGGCCTTACCATCAGCCCCTCCAAAACTAAGCACCTGTCTGGATGTTTTGTGTCATCAAAGACTCCACCCCCTCAGCTCCCCATTGGTGGGGTAGTTGTGGAGAGAGTGGAGAGGCTTCCATACCTGGGCAGCGCGACGTCCTCGTGCGCCATCACAAATTCCTTCACGCAGCAAGGCAACACAGCGCATGGAGCTCTCACGTGACCGTCTCCCTGTTCCCCCCACGCGTGATCATCTCCCAGGTCCCTGTGTGACCGTCGCACGATCGCTGCCATTCATTCCCACGGTTGGATGTTTGGCCAAATTTAAATAGATTAATTAAGTACTAATTGAACGTAATGGGATTTTTTGTGTGCAGACATTGGTGACCAGGATGAGACAACAAAACTCACTACAATTGAGAACCCAGTCTTTGGGTACCTATGGATCTCTATGCAAGTCTATAGGTTGCTATGCGAGTCTGTGGGTCTCTGAGTTTTGTTTGTTGTCCTTCCCCACACCTCCGATGAGCACGGATGGCTACGTACTGTGCGAAAGTTCAACATACATAGATATACATGCGAGTATGCGTGTCTCTGTGTGCGTCTATGGATCTCTATGTGAGCCAGGCTTAAGGCCATCAACTCATTCCACCCGTGCGATCCGTCGCTTGCTCCGACGTTCGTTGGGCGCCGGTGGGCGGGGTACCTTGCAGGGCATCTTGCCGGAAAGAGCTTTGGGTTGACGTGGGTAAATGACGTCACAAGAAGTGACGCGTCCGCAATTGTTGCCAATAGCGGTGTCAAGTGGCATCAATTATGAAATGTAAATTATGCGCAAATCTGTTAAAAGTCCGAATATAGTGACAAAGCTGATGCAAACTAAACGGCGCACATCACGGGAAACTAAAGACTCCCGTGAATGTATTTTATCGGGAGCTAATTTATCGGATAGGCCGCATAAGGAATGTTTTATAGGAACGGGATGTGTGTGTGTGTGCACGTGTCTCTCCTCACGTGGATTCAAATCGTCATGGAGATCTCGTGCGTGTATGTAACATCGTGGGGAACGGTAATGTAGCAGTTAGCATGCTCCGCTATCAACCCGGCGACCCGACTTCAATTCCCGCTCACGGCTAACACCAGTGACAATTATCTGAACCGGTCCTGGGCCTCCCCTAGGCCGACTCAGCCTCAAATGAGTACCTGGTGCGGTGTGTTAACATCGCCACGAGGGAGACAAAGGTGGCCAGGCATGGTGCGGAGGAGGCTCGTGAAGGACGCTATTGGACAGTTGGAGGCAGTTGCCCTCCAACAAAAGTGGAGGGCAGAGGAGCGGCGCTCACATCAACAAGTGGAGCGTCGGACGGCTAAAGCAGTGCAGGTTGGCACAGTAGGGGGCACAGGTGGTGCATTTACCAGTCATTTCAATCAGTCAACCCAACTGGGTCTGATCCGTGACCTCTGGCCAGCGATGCATCGACACTGCATGTGGTCTCAAAGTGCACTAAGGCTGGCACAAACGCCTTGGTGATGTCACTGCCACTTAGTGGCAAATGGTGGTTGTTGTGTGTGTGCATGCTAACTAAATCACTTGTGCCAGCAGTGGCTCCGCTTGCCTATTTGACTGCACGATGTCGAAGCATTCCACACTCGTCGGGTTCCGGCCCACGCGGTTGCGGGAACAGTCGCGTGTAGTAATCCAGGTCCCACTCATCCAGTGCCAGGCCTGGCCCAGGTAACCTCCAATAGGTAACAACAGACAACAGCCGGAGAGGTCACAGACAGCCGGAAGAAGTCACAGACAGCTGGAGAGGTCACAGACAGCTGGAAGAAGTTACAGACAGCCGTGAGAAGTCACAGAGAGCCGAAAAGGTCACAGACAGCTGGAGAGGTCACAGACAGCCGGGAGAGGTCACAGACAGCCGCTGGCCATTTTGTCACAACTAAAATGTGTTTGGGTGTCCCTGGCAACAAAACTACTGGTGCCAGGTGGAGCACCGTTCATAGCTGAGGACATTTCCCGGACATGGGAACGATTCCCGGTTTGTCCTGGCTAAACTGCCGCGAACAACGTGCATTCAGGATCAATCGTTTATCACCGGTTCACGATGCTTTATACCTTGATATGCCCTGCAGAGAGTGTTTTTCGCACGTCAATTAAACTGAGAATGTAACCTTCAGAGTTATATTACGCCAACTTGTGGGAGGATCCGAATTTAATGATGAAACTAATTATATTTGGCGATGCTGCTGCATTGGCAGTGGTGTACACATAAAAAAGCCACACGTTCGTCAATAACACTGTGGCCTTAAAAAGAACCGTCACCAATAAGTGACGTTTTGGGCAATGACCCCTCTTCATGGCATTAAGGCAGCTGCCTCGATCCGAACCCAGGATCTCAGCATTGCCATTTCAGCGCTCTGACCTCTGACCCACTTGGCGCACAAGGCACAGCGCATTATGCCTGCCCACCATCATGAAGGTCCTTCATGATTGTGAGCAGAGGGTCAGGGACTTTGAAAGCACAAATAACAACCAGTGCCCTGGGTTACTGATTGTATCATAGGTCTTGACCTGGCAAATAAAGCAAAGATGTAGGTCCCTTTGAAATTCCTTACATTCTAATATAGCGGAGGGAGAGAGAATGGAGAGAGAATATGACATCTGTGCAGGACGGCCCCGGCCTGAAACCACATTGGGGCTCCGCAAGCCTCTCCTCAGCGTGGCTGGCAAGGAAATTTTTAATAATCTTGCCAAAATCTTTTCCCGGCACACCGACAGAGATGCCGCAGTAGTTGATTCAATTTGTGCGGACAGGTAGTGGAGGGAGAGTAGACAGAGCAGCACATTACATCTCCAAAGAGAGAGATAGAGGCGTCTTCCCTGTACTGGATGCTTCAGAATTGTTTTTGCTGAACTCGTCAGGAGTAGAACGATAAACAGGAGGAGGATCAGCAAAGAGGAGCCAAAGGAGAGGATTGTCGAGAGAATTAGCCGAGGAAGAAGTGGTGCAGAATGCGCTGATGAGAGAGCAGCAGCAGCACGTTCTCCTGAACAGACACAAGAGATGCGGATGCATGGACAGTATCAAACACTACAACTGCCGTTCAACACAAAGTGGAAACACGGTGACATGCACATGACGACACGCACACGCAATCGCGTTTCCGGACTCGTGCTCATGTTTTTTAAACTTATAATAAAATGTACTTGTCTTTGTTTGTCACTATTCGACTCTTTTCAATCATTAATAACCCAGGTCAAGGTCACGAGGTCGTAGTGAGCGGTGCCAGTGCATACCTCGGGCGATTACTGACGGTGGGTCAGGATCAAAAAGTAATATTAAAAAAAAAAAATTTAACACGCTTTTATGAAATGTACTAGTAATGGCAGAACTCCACGACTCCAGGAAGTGGCCCTCGAAGCTTGCTATAACGTAAGGGACCATGTCCAATTATAGCCAATGGCAGTTGACCGTGGACAATTATACACAAGCCGAAACATAAAATATAAAAAAGAATGTTTAAACATATATATTTTTATTTTTTATGATAGAATATAGTATTGTCATCAGTATTACATAAATATACCTAGTTTGCAGTCGATACCACATTGGGAAGTGGGTTAAAATTGAGTTACAAGATTTGAGGATACGACAACGACAACAACACCAACAGACAGAGTGAGTTAAAAGAAAGCGTGTAAAATTATAACAGATTTGGTGAGTGGGAACAAGGTGCAGGGCTGCTTTGAAAGGTGAACTTCACAATAACGAGCAACGTTATTAACATGCGATAAGCATGTCATTAGCAAACCATTAGCGTAAATTGTAGATGATCTATTTCCACGCGATGTGGTGGCTGCGTTGTGAGCATTAGCAGGCAAAAGAAACCCGCGTGTTCGGGATGGCCATGAGAACACTCGCGGTGGCAACGCTCGTCCCTGCACACCGGCGAGCGGGTTGCGCGAGAGTAGAGCCGGCTGCTGTATCGACTGCCGTTACATGCTGTCCAAGTTGGAACAGATAAGCGTAATGCGTTGATGTAATTGAATAAGGCGGTTTTGGGAAAAGAGACGATGGAAGAGGGAATGCCGAAGTGGTGCAGTGCAGAACGCAATGCGGTTGGGACGGAGCGATCAGCTGTTTGGTAGGTTGTGCACATGTTGGCAACTGATTGGAAGTTTTCGTGACATCAGGGATCCATACTCTTTGGTTCTTTTGGTAAAGTCACGTAGGTATAATTGTTCAGCAATTGTTTCTTGCTGTGGTTGTCCCACCTGATGACGGACGCTTGTGTTGCGTCGTGATTTAATTATTTTATACTTACGTGACTTTACCGAAAAAACCAAAGAGTGTTGGCAACTGGTTGTAGAGACGTCCACGTATAAAAGATTCAGTTGCATGCAACCAAGTTGCACTACTGATCGCTGTGGTATGAGAATGGCTTGTAATCGGTGTACAGATGATGATGCATTGATGATACATCACGGTACCTGGCCTTCTATTAAACCTGAGGCTCGTGCAGTGTGTACTCCCAGTACACAACGCAATCAGCGGGCGTGTCACCAGCATTCACCAGCTCATTCATTTCATAATTCGTCATTCTTCAATTCGTAGATTCATTAATTGATTCACTTGTCAATTAATTTATTCATTATTTTGGCGGTTTATTCATCATGTCCATAGAGTCGATAGCTACATAAACTGTTTGCCGGCGCCACTGATATCTTTGGTAAGCCAGGTCACTCGTGCTCGTTTGGCAGATTAAGTCGTGTGAGCGTAGGGCAATTTTTCACCCTTGGGGGCCGTCCATAAATGACGTCACGTACCTAGGGGGGGTCAGACATTTGTGACGATGTGTGACGAAGAGGTTTGAGAAATGTGACGTCACATCAAAATGCGCAATTTTAAATATAGATAACACCAGAACCGGCCCTAGACCTTTGGGGGCCCTAAGCAAAATTTGGTTGGAGGCCCCTTTGATGTATTATTTTTTTCACCCACTAGCTAGCAGTGACTCTAGGGGGCCCTCTGCTGGCCACGGGGCCCTTTGCAATTGCGAGGGTCGCTTAGTGGCTGGGCCGGCTCTGGATAACACGTTCTACTTAATTAAATACTTTTTAATAAATGTTTTCTCCTACAACATCAGAGTGCAGCGCCACATTAAATACGTACTACAATGACAATAGTTTAAAGCGATTTGAAGCATGTTTTATTTTTTGGGGGGGGGGGCAGAGCTTTGTGACGTCATATTTGAGGGGGGTTTGACTTTTTGTGACGACGTGTGACGACGGGGGGGGGGGGGGGTCAAAAATCGGCCAAAATCGCGTGACGTCATTTATGGACGGCCCCTTAATGACACATCACTCGCGTTGACGGGTTTTGGTTGTAAGACAGTCACCCAAAACACTTCCACACCGTAGCACAACTTCAAATAGAAAGTGGCACACACAATGTTATAAGCTGGAACAAAACCCACCCCCACTCACACCTATTTAAAAGTAAATATTTAAGATTTTATTATTTCGTAAATATTAGGAAAATAAATATACAAGAAACTTTGATTGAGCAATATCAATCACTATAAAACGATATTTAGCAAAATGGCCAATTACCCTGGATATAATTTCTAGCCATATTCCGATTTTGTGACATCCAAAAGCCCTGATTGCAATTAATGAGGAGTTTCAAGTCTCGTGATTGTTAGACTCAAAGCGCCGTGGGAACCGAGTCAGATCATAATATTTAAAAATACTTTTTTTTTTAAAACACGCTTTAATGAAATGTCCCGTACGAGGAATGGCAGAACTCCATGACTCCAGGAAGTGGCCCCGAAGCTTGCCATAACGTAAGGGACTGGTGATGTACAGCTAACGTCAGTTGAGCGTGGACAATTAGACCCAAGCCGAAACATAACATATAAAAAAGATTGTTAAAAAATATATACTTTTTATTTTTAATGATAGAATATAGTATTGTCATCAGTATGACATAAGTATACCAAGTTTGCAGTCGATACTACATTGGGAAGTGGGTTAAAATTGAGTTACAAGATTTGAGGATACGACAGAGTGAGTTAAATAAAAGCGTGTAATAAAAAAAAATATCCGCTGCTCTGGGAATTGCCTTGTCTTGCCACGTTATTCTCTCCTTACTGTTCCCATGATCGGACCAACACAAGACAAACTAACTATTGTCAAAAAAACAACAAGATTAAGAATGCTTACTTGGTCATTTTATTTTATGGGGTAAGCACGATATATATTTTTTAGATAAATTATAAATATGCTAAATGTGACGTCTATGCACTGCATATACAATAGTCCCTCGGTTAACGTTCATAATCCATTCCACGAAAACGATTGTTAACCAAAATAACGTTCAACCGAATATATAAAATCACCTGGTATGCAAGAGAGTTGTTTGGCCGAAATTGGCGTCCACGTGCATAACGCAAACATCGCGTTAATCAAAATGTTAACGTTAGTCGAAACCATGGGGTCCAATATGAGTGTGGTCGGGGTTAAGTCTGGGTACTCACACCTCTTCCAAAACGTCTGATCAGCGTGGAAGAGTAGGCCAAATAGGGTATTTTTACAGCTCCGTCTCGTGTAGGCCTTCCACTGGCATTTATGTAAGCAATTGCAGAGCTGCACCGGTAGCTTCACTTTTATCAGCAGTATTAGCAAACTGACTCTACTGATGAGGCCCAGATGGGTGAAACCGGCCCTGAGTTTGCGAGTTTAAGCAAATGCTGCTGGATAACTTAAGTCTGGAAGACCGATGGCCGGGCAGACTTTGGGGCAGTCTATAAATGACGTCACGCATCTAGGTGGGGGGGGGTCAGACATTTGTGACTATGTGTGGCAACGGGGGGGGGGGGGGGGGGTGAGAAATGTGACGTCACATCTATGAATTTCGTTGTAATACAAACCCGCCTTAAGACGTATGTGGGCCATGATTTTTCGAAGGCAGGTCCTGTCGCATGGACCTCTCGAACTGACAAATTCAAGAACAAAAACTTTGAGTTCAACTACTTCAAATGAGACCTTAAAATTAATTTAATGAACACAGCGTGACGAGACAGCAATGTGCATTAGAGATGCTATTACATTACATCAGGAAATTAAATCTAGAAGAAACATTGATTGAACAATATCAATCACGATTAAACGATATTTTGCAAAATGGGTGAGAAAATTATAGTAGATCTCATCTATTGAAATATTCAGATTTGTGTAACATCGCAAAAGCCGTAATAGTAATGAACTAGTTTCAAGTCTCTTGTTTGTTGGACTTGCTGCACAAGAGGCCCTGATTCAGATAAAAATATTCCCCGCCGCTCTAGGAATTATCTTGGCTTCCCACGTCGTTCTCTTCTCACTGTGTTCTCATGATAGGATCAACACAAGACAACAATTATCAAAAAAGCAACAATGTCGATAATGATAATTTGGTCATTTTATTTTTGTTAAATACATTTTCAAAAGTAGTATGTGGAAACACAATCATTCCTATAGATGAAACGATACATACCCTAAATATGTGACGTCTATATATTGTTATCAGCTAACAATAGCAATGGCACCAGGTACATCCAGCAGCATGACTTTACTGATGAGGTCCATAGTGTTGAAATCAGTCAACAGTTTTCTAACTTAAATACATGCTGCTTGATGATATGGTCTGGAAAGTCGATAGGGCGATGGACTAAAATCTATTTGTATTTATATGTGGAGGCACAAAACGATAGTGAGGCATACATTTGAGTTCAATACCCAAAGCAGGGTCCTTGTAAAGTACTGCTGAAGTTCAGTGAAGCTCTTGTGGCTGATTAAAGAAATCAGCGCGAATCTCTCAATATCCTCATGAGACAACACTACATTTGTCGCAGCCTCATTGCCCGGATAAATTATATGAATTTTTGATGTGTTGTTTACAAATGAAGGGGAATTTTTTTGCTTATAATAACCATATGCCATGCTTATCTCCCGGTGAGGTAGTTGAGACAAAGGTGCACGTTTCTTAAATCTCCCAACACCTCCTCTGGCATTCCAGGATCATAAATGAGTTAACCGCAGTTCATAGGTAAGTCACGGGTAAAATATGGGTCCTCCCACATCTTCCAAGACTTCTGGTCAGCGTGGAAAAGTAGGTCAAATACCCTCCAGAGGGGCTCTTTAGAGCTCCGTCTTGTGGAAACCCGTTTCAATGCTAGTGATGTCAGTGTGCAATTGCAGGGCTGCACCTGTACCTTTACGTATATCAGCAGTATTTGTTTAGCAAGCTGACTACTGAAGGCAGCCCAGATATTGTGAATTTAAATAAATGCTGCTGGATAACCTAAGTCTGGAAGACCGATTCCAGATAGACTTTGTATGTAGACTGTTTTACACTTTATTCTGAGCCATATAGAAATAAATTATTTACTACCCAGATTACTCTATTTCAGTGTTCAGTGAGTAAACCAGCAGTACTTAACATTATTGATTAATGATGATCACCAAAACAGTGAAACCAGCCCAATGTGTGCATGTTCAAACAAATTCTGGCAGATAACGTGAATTCTGCTGGTTAACGTTATTCCAATAGAAAGTCAGGTTTATCAATTATCCAGCACTCACTAGTCACTCATCGAGTGGTCAATCGTCTCCTTTTCACTCTTTTACCGCTACTACCATGGTTAATTTTCCTGACAGACTATAATAAATTAAAATTGCACGTGGCAATACGGAACAGAAGGTGGTTTATTTTATTTACCGACCATAATGATGCATTCCCAGGCTCTGGAACTAGATCAACTCCACTGAGATGCGTATATATGTTCACTTGTCCCGATCTCTAGCAAAGCATGGTGATGTTAATTTTGTACATTTGTACGTGTGTGTTGTGGCCATAATTAAGGCTGCGATTTTTGCATGGGGATCACGGAAATCATGATTGAGTCAAATCCACAAGAACTTGGTAACGGTTCGATGAACAGTTTTATCTTGATAATAAAAAGCCCTACGTCATGCACAGAATAAACAAATTTGTACTCTGAGATCATTCCACCCAAATCGACGAATGATGCTCAAAATAACAAATTAATAAATAAAATGACTTGAATTGTCCACTTTGTTTAAGGGGTTTATACTTTTAAATGGTTAATTTAACATGTTTTAAAGTTTAAAACGTAAATAAAAATATTTCACTTCCTGTGTGACGCCACCGCATCTTACTCCATGACCTCTGTGTGAACCCCATTCTCACCTGCACCGCAACAAATCTGTAGGCAAAATTGAGCCGTGCGGCCGTGTGAATTGAGTAGTCCCACAATCTTCCCAAGTCATTCCTCGACTGCCACCCCTCTATCCCTATTCTGGGCACATCGTACCTCATCTCTTCCAGTCCTCATACCCTAGCCCACTTCCCCTTTTGTACCCATCACCGACCCTTCCAGCCATGACACATCCTGCCCAAGCTCACTTCCCCTTCTGAACACGTTGGATGACGTCTCCTACGAATGTTCTGCTATCAACGTGTTCCCCTCTCTGTCGCTCAATTCCAAACATGCATCTTTCCAGTAAATATTTAAGTAGTTATTAAATTAGAAAGCATTCATTAAAATAATCATAACCTTATCGTGGTGGGATTTGTTTGTTGCATTGACCCTCAGAGCTATGTCGCCTGGAGTCTTGTACTCCTGCTAGGGGCCTCCCTTGGCAAACAGGTCTGGGGGGAGGTTCCAGACAGATAACGGTCCAAAATAAAGTCAGCCATGAATGGCTACAAAATACCATAATCAGAGAACCTCGCCCGGACAAGGGATACCGGGATACATCCCTGGAGCCAGGCCTGAGGGTGGTATTCACCAGCAAGCGCCTGGTGGCCGGGTGGCCCACATAACCTGGTCGGGCTCAGCCTGAAATGGCTACGTGGTGCCGCCATCTGCAGGACAAAGGGTTAATGGCAGGTTCGATAACTATGACAGGAAGAGGGATGGTCTCAGACGGACTGGCCTTTGGCGATGGACACTAGCTATTGGGACGTGGAATGTCACGTCACTGGGGGGGGGGGGGGGGAGCCAGAGCTGGTAGAGGAGGTGGGAGGGTTGGTCTCACCTCCACACGCAGCATTGGCACCGGAACCAAACTTCTCGAATGGAGGTGGTATCTTTCCTAATCCAGAATAACCCCTAGTGAGAGGCCCCAGGCGGCTGTGGGGATACTCACAGGACCCTGGCTGGGTGCTGTTCAGCTGGAGTTTGTCCCAGTGGATGAGAGGGTCACTTCAATGAGACGTCGGGTCTCAGAAAGGAAAACTCTGACTGTTGTCTGTGCTTGTGCACCCCACAGCAACTTCAATGCTCTCGTGGAAAACTATGGATCTACCTGGAGAGGCGTGATTGGGAGGAATGGACCCCCAAACGGTGAGATGTTATTGAATTCTGCACTCGTCACAGAATGTCAATAACAAGCACCATGTTCGAACACAAGGATGCTTATTAGTGTACTTGGTGCCAGAGCACCTTGGGCTGAAGGTCAATGATTGACTTTATAGTTTTATCATCGGACCTAAGACCGTATGTTCTGGACACTCGGGTAAAGAGAGGGGCAGAGCTGTCAATTGATCACGACCTGGTGGTAAGTTGGATCCGACGTGTGAGGCACCAACCAGATAGACATGGAAGACCCAAAAGAATAGTGCGGGTTTTCTGGTAACATCTGGTGGCAGACCCAGTGCATAAAGATTTCAACTTCCACCTCTGGGCAAACTTTTCCTGCACTCCAGGGGAGGTCGTGGACATTGAGTCTGAGTGGACAATGTTCAGGACCTCGATTGTGGATGCAGCTGGGAAAAGCTCTAGCTTAAAGGCAGTTGGTGCCTGTCATGGCAGCAACCCTAGGACCCGCTGGTGGACATCAGTGGTGAGGGAAGCTGTCAAGTTGAAGGAGGCTTTCCGAGCTATGCTCGGAAAAAGGTATCCCAACTCGATTGAGAGGTACCGATTGCCACGAGGGTGGCAGCTGCAGCAGTCGCTGAAGCAAAAGCCCCGGCGAGGGAGGAGTTTGGAGAGGCCATGGAGAGGGACTACCGGGCAGCCTCAAAGATGTTCTGGCAAACCATGCGATGCCTTCGGAGGGGTCGACGGGACGTGGCCCAAGTTGTTTTCAGTAAGGGTGGTGTAACATTGATCTAAACTCGGGAGATAGTTGAGAGGTGGAAGGAACACTTTGAGGAGCTCGACAATCCAGTGAACATGCCTTCCTTTCAGGAGGCAGCTCTGGAAATAACTTGGGGGGGGGGGGGGGTCAAATCCATCATGGTTGCTGAAGTTGCTGTGGCGGTCGAGGGCCTTCATAGTAGCAAAACTACTGGGGTGGACAAGATTTTCCCAGAGTTGCTGAAAGCGCTGGAAAGTGTAGGATTGTCGTGGTTAACACGCCTCTTCAATGTTGCATGGAAGGCACGTACAGTACCTCTGGACTGGAAAACTGGGGTGTGCTCCAACTACAGAGGAATTACAGTGATACCTCGGTTCACGAACGCTTCTGTTCACGAACAACTCGGTTCACGAACAGAAAAGTTCATAAAAATATGCTCCGGTTCACGAACAGGAGCCGCGGCCATTTTAATGCTATTTCCAGGCTGTCACATGGTCGTGACTTCCTGTAGGAAGATCGTGGAGAGAAGAAGAGACGCAGAAAGAAGTACTGTGAGTACTGTGAAGACACTTTCAGTGACTTTTTGCTTTTTGGTGTGCTTTTTAGCACATACAGTACTGTACTGTACTACTGTACTGTACTGTACAATACTGTACTTACTGTATTGTACAGTTCACCCGTTTGAGTGCTTACTGAAGTCATCTCAAGCAAGGTTAGTGTTCTCTCTTTATACATTACTATACTGTACAGTACTAATGTGTATTGTAATTTGTTTCATATTTTTGTGCTTCAAAAACCAAAAAAAAAGGTCAGAACGGATTAACCGGATTTACATTGAACCCTATGGGAAAATGTGCCTCGGTTCACGACCAATTCGGTTCGTGACCAGAGTCAGTTCACGAATTAAGTTCGTGAACCGAGGTATCACTGTACACTACTAAGCATCCCAGGTAAAGCCTATGCCAGAGTGCTGGAGAGGAGTCTCCACCTGGTGCTCGTGCCTCATATTCAGGAGCAACAATGTGGATGTTGTCATGGCCGTGGAACAATGGACCAGCTCTTTTCCCTCCTACGGATATTTGAGGGGTCATGGGAGTGTGCTTCTCCAGCCTACCTCTGTTTTGGAGACTTGGAGAAAGCATATGTCTTGTGGGAGAATATGATGTACCGGTGCTGCTTTTGTGCACTATCTGGTTCCTCTATTCCCGGAGTGAGAGCTGTATCTGTATTACTGGTGTTAAATAAAATTAATTCACTGTGGGTGTTGGAGTCCGCCAAGAGTGCATCTTGTCTCCACTCATGTTTGTGATTTTCATGGACAGGATATCAAGGCGCAGCCGAGGTATGGAGAGTATCCAGTACGGGGGCATAGAGGTGGCATTGCTGCTTTTTGCAAATGACGTTGTCCTCTTTGCCTCAACAGTCTCCAGCATGCACGTGAAGCGGCTGGGATGAGGATTAGCACCTCCATGTCTGAGGTCATAGTTCACTCCAGGGTGATGGTGGATTGCTCTCTCCAGGCGAGGCGGGAACAGCTTCCCTTAGTGGAGGAGTTTAAGTACCTCAGGGTCTCTTTCGCAAGTGATGGTAAGTGGGAGCGGGATATCGGCCGGCGGATTGGTGCGGCATCCGCAGTGTTGCAGGCACTGTACCGTTCCGTGGAATTGAAATGGGAGCTGTATTCTCGAACAAAACGCTTGGTTTACAGGTCGATCTAGATTTCCACCCTCATCTATGGTCATGAGCTTTGGGTAATGAGCAAAAAGATGAGATCACGGGTACAAGGGGCCGAAATGAGCTTTCTTCACAGGGTTGCCGGGCTCACTCTCCGTGGTCGGGTGAGGAGCTCGATAATCCGGGAGAGCCTCAGAGTCGAGCTGCTCCTCCTCCGGATCAAGAGGAGCCAGTTGAGGTAGTTCGGGCACCTTGTAAGGATGCCCCCAGATAGACTCCCCATGGAACTCTACCGGGCACATCCCACTGGGCGAAGGCCCCGGGGCCGGCCCAGGACATGCTGGCGGGACTATGTCGCTCGGCTGGCCTGGGAACGCCTGTGAATTCCCCAGGAAGAGCTAGAGTCTGTCACCAGGGAAAGGGAGATCTGGACCTCCCTTCCAACATTCTGCTGCCGCGACCCTCACCAGGACAAGTGGCTTGAGAAACAAACGAAGTATTAATTAAATATACTTGGTGGTAATTACATTAAGTGAACGGAATTTTGTAGTAATTATGTATTATGGAATTATTTGTAGTTTGTACAATCCCCACAAATGCTAAGAGTCTCCCCCTAGTAATTCGGTATTCACAGTGCGGCTGCACTGCTGCCGCACTGTGTCCACTTGCTCTCAAAGAGAGGACGACTCAGAGGCGCCTTGGGGAACAACGGACGAGCGGCAAGGACGCAGCCAAGCAGTGAGCTGGAATTACCAACAACTACCGAAGGTTCAGCCAATTATGAGTGTTTCTATGGGAGGAAACCCGAGTACCCAGATAAATCTCGTGTGGAACTTCTCAATTACACCCACTCCCCCCCCCCCCCCCCCACTATTTTTTGCTCTGTCCAAACACACGCCTGAGCTTGGAGCCGGCTTTATTGTAAGTCGCGGTAATGGGCCGCAGGGACTTCCTCAAGAAGACCGAGAACGATTTGCAGCGTGACACCTCCACCCCCCCACAACTGAAGCGAGTGTACACCTCCTCGATGACAACCACCATCATGTTGAGCAGCAGCACGGCGAACAAGAACATGAAGCTGAAGTAGAGGAGGGCGGCCATGTACCCACCGGCCGCGTAGAGGTCAGCAAAAACCGGGGCGCCGAGCAGAGCAGCGAATAGCGAGCCCACGCTCCTCCCAAACGACCTGTAGGCGCCCACCCGTATGCCCAGCACATTCCAGAAGATGATGCTGTAGCTGACAAGTAGCACGATAAAAACAAGGGAGAAGCTGCAGAGCTTGTGGGCACAGTGGACCGCTGATGTGACTGCCTCGCTCATGGTAGTGTTGTAGCGGAACAACGGGAGGATCCGCAGCGTCGCCAGGAAAAGGAGGAGGCCCAGGAACTGCGTGGACAGCCTGTCAAGCGATGCGGGCCAAGACAGGTCGGTGAAGACGGCTGTGGAACGAGATGGTGAGGTTACAAAGGGAAGGCACCAATGCCACCAGTGCTTAATTTTAGCTGGAAAAGTATGGAACGCTGTTCTCAGAATTATTTCAGCATGCCACATCCATCTGTTCTTAATTTTCCTCATGATACTGCAGTATAAGAGGTTTATGGGAATATAGGGTACAATAATTTACGGTAAAATAACGGAGGGTGCAATTATATAGGGTACAATAACAAAGGGTTCAATACTATATGTTAAAATACTATAGGGTTATTACAGATTAGAATACCTCTAGTGGTAGTGCCTTATGTTGATAATCCTTACTTCAAGCCAGCCCAGCAGTGTTCCGGAACACACCGAGTGAGGAATGAAGCCCTAAGTGTTTTTGTCTTCTTTACTCATGGATGCTGAGCAGGCTCACAAAACGCCCAGTAGCCAGCAACAAACAGTGGCAGTGATGACTGACAACAGCACCATCGATGGAATTGGTGCTAAAGGTGTTGGCCGTGGCAGTGATGATGATAAAAGTGATTAAAAAACTAACATTGATAATAACGATAATGTCAGTGACTATTCTGACATTACGATGGCACTGATGATTCCAAAGAACACAGGATGAGATGTTACTATCCTTTGTGCAAGCACTTCCAAGAGTTCATGAACAGTGAGCCTGGTGAAATTTGGGGAGCGCATCGTCAGTAGTGACCCTTTGGTTCCTAGGGTGTTTCGGCCTTTCATACTATACACCCTCCCCAAAGGCGGCCAGCGACAGGGTGATCAATCCTACGCTTGCGTCCCATTCCCAATTAGTCATAGGAGTTGCCTTGTTGTTGGTAGCCAACATCCCATGCGACTATGCATGGCAGGGGCGTCCTCCTCCCTGAGTCAAGCATTGTTGACACTGATGATAATGGTGATGATGACAGTGAATACAACACCACCGACAATGTTTTTTTAGATATATTTAAATAGCCAAAATCCCACGTGGCCAGCAACAAATATTACCATTGAAGCAGTGGCGGCTCGTCAATAGAGGGCGCAGGGGCGCCGCCCCCATCAATATTCAAGAAATATACATATGCAAAATTTATATAAAAATACATAAATAAAATATTTTTTTCATACGATGTGCCGGCTGGTAGTAAGAAAAGCATCAGCATTTAATAAAAACTGGCTTTAATCGGTCAACTATTTTCTATGTTTTTCAATGTGTTTCATGCGGGGCGCCGGACAAATGGATGTCTATGTGAGACTTTACATTTTCGGACAGCATGTGACCTGAAGCTGGTCTCTAATTGGTTTCTTAAAGATTCTCCTCGGGGCGCAAGTCGTTGCGTCCCTGGCCAATCAGAATTGGATACATGTTATTTTATCCAATCTGATTGGTTCTCGTCACCTGTCATTCAAATTTACGCTGTAGGCCACTACTGCGTGTGCGAAGGCGACACCACTTTGACACTTGCTAGGCTGATCAAATTTTTTGTGTAAACAATGGCAGCAGTTCATCCAAATTCTGTAATTTATTTACAAAAAAACCCTTTCACAAGGCTTTCGCTGGAAGAAATAAAAAAGATAAAGGATCTCGGACCGGACCAACCCGATTTACAAATCCAGCAGCAGGCCAGTGACAGAGGACGAAGCTACACACGAAGCTTCACCCGCGCTTGTTATGAGAAACGGAGGTGGCTGGCTGGATGTGATGTTAGCAATTCTCTTTTTTGTTTTCCCTGTCTTTTATTTCAAAGTGTCGGCACTGAAGTTTTGTGGACAACGACGGGGGTAAGAGACCTCAAACATCTCTCTGACAAATGCAAACGTCATGAAAGTAGCCGCAGCCATATTGATAATAGCATGAAACTAACGTTTTTATGTTCAAGTAGGAAACATGCTTTTTGGTACTTTGGTCTGAAATGTATATAAAAGAGAAACATTTATGTTCAAGTAGGAAACATGCTTTTTGGTACTTTGGTCTGAAATGTATATAAAAGAGAAACATTTATGTTCAAGTAGGAAACATGCTTTTTGGTACTTCTTTTGGTCTGAAATGTAAATAAAGATCATCAAAATTTATATTCAAGTAGTCAAAATGGTTTTTGGTACTGCTTTATATTTATTTGCCCCCCTCAATAAAATAAAAAAATGCGCCCCCCCAAAAATAAATATCACCAGCCGCCACTGCATTGAAGGTGTAATTGAGGCAATCAACACACTTAAATTGATAACCCAGTTTAATCACAGTCAGTGGCCGAAACCTGGATTCGAACCCAGGATCTCAGCCAGGCTGGCTCAGCATCTCCAACCTCTGAACTGTTTGGCCACCTTTTTTAGAAAAAAAAAGTTCAAGTGACTTCCGAGAGCAGGACTTCTGCTGAAGTCATGGCCAAGTGAACAGCGCTGAACGGACCGCTTCTACCCCTACTTAAAAAAGACAACCCCTTTAACCCAGCCACTTGCTTACCTGTTTTGTAGTTTTTTTTAGTAAAGACCGGTATGCGAGAGGGGCTTGGGTCTCCCAAATCTACAGAAATACTCTACGTCAGTTGGCCTGTAGAATGTTAAATGCTGGTTGGACCCAACAAAATGATGGATTGCCAAAAGCTGAGAAGAAGAATTAGTTAAACAATGCTCCCTTGTTGGGTTTGCCTTTGCCTCGGCAAGGTTTTCTCGACGCTGGAGATTTGCAGGGACAGGAGTATTCCCTTCCTGGTCCCCTACACAGAAGATTGAAGCTATGGAGTAACTCGACTTTGAAAGTAGGGGGGAAAGAAATAATGTGGATTAGCTAAAAGGAGTCTGGCTTGGAAATGGTTGGGGATCTTTTGAACAAAGATGGTGGGGTGCTGTATTTTAATCAGATGCACGCTAAATATAATCATGTAGATCACTGATTATCTGGCGTGCAATTCAAGCATTATCCAGCGGTCCTGGGCATATCCGGCGAAAACAGCATATATTTCGGCTATTGCCAGAAAACTTCTCCAAAGGCTGTGTACCAGTCCGGCAATTGGCACCATGTGCGTGACAATTTTCTTTAGCTATGCTTGATTTCAGTGTCAAATATTATATCCAGTACATTGTGTACTACATAAAAAACTAGAAAATTTTAAATAATGCACGTATATACATTTGTCATGACTAATAATTATTAATAAAAATAAAGTGTGTGTATAAATCGGCATTCGCCAGAGCACCGGTCAAAGGCTACATCAGTCCGGCAATCATCAAACACATGGCTAAAACAAGATGTTATATACACCTTAAAAGCAATCTGTTCAATTGCGTTCACGAGCAATATAGAATTCTACACCCCCTATCAAGTAAGTAGAGAACAATAAATACAGTAACTTTTTTTACAGTAGGATAATTATTTTGTTGATATGTATGTTTATTTATGCCAATTTCTGATAGTAAACTAATTTTAAACACAAAAACATATTTTCAACACATACAAACATGTTATACAAGAATGTGCAAAAAATAAGCTATTTTAGAAAATGTATGTGATTATCCAGCGTTTTTGAAAATCTGGCATCCATTTCCCCCTTAAGCTGCCAGAAAATCGATGGCTGATTGTATCTCTCGCCCTCATTTTTTCATCGACCTGCAAAATAGAGATGTCATTATGAAAGCCCCGGGTAAGAACCTAAGCGAATCACTTTACCCAATCATAGACTGGCTAGGAGTGCCGAGGCCTACCACCTGTTAGGCAGTGACAAATAATCTTTGGAACCGGGATCTGTCCTATGAGGTCCCCTCACAGAACTGGACACAAATCTGGCGAGCCACAATATGGCCCAAGATCACTGCCACTAAGGCTCATTCAGTTCAAATTTATACACGGCACCTATATGACAAATGAAAGAGCGCAATTCATGGAAGTCTCCCCGATTGTCCCAGGTATTCCCTGGGTACGGTTCAGTCTTACCTTCACGCCTTGTGGCTATGCTCAGACGTTGCAATACTCTCCCAGGAGATCATAGACTTTTTATGGCATCTGTGGCACCAATCTTACCCCTTCAGTTGAAACGACTTTGTGGGGTATGAAACCGGAAGCCCTTCCGAAACACCAACATGCTCTACTTCAAACCTTTAATATTACAGCCAGGAAGACCATACTGGCAAACTGGATATATCATGAATCCCCCTTGTGGTAACAGTCGCAGAACACTATTTTAGCTCAAGCGGGTGCTGAGGACTAAAACCACAAGCTTAAAGGTAGGAAATTAGAGTTTGAAACCAGGTGGTCCCCCATCCTATGCAGTCGGGTGGAAAGAGAGGCAGTGCCCCTCAGCTGTAAATAAGCGGGAGCAGATCTATGAGCCATGGCAGGTTAACGCATTATCCCATAAGCTGCGTGTATATTATTTCATTTATAGAGTTTTCCTGTGCTCCCCTCTTCCCCCCTCCCCCCCCTCTGCCATTGATCTTCCCTCAGTATTTTAGTTACCGTTCCCCTCCTTCTCCCCCCAATATAAATATTCACCCTCCTACTAGTGGTCCCCACTTGGTTGGGGCAGCGAGTCCAACTTCCCCACCTACGTATGGTCTCGTCGCGTAGAATTCGAATTCTCACCGTGTTCTGTTCCCGTCCAATTTGTTGCAATAAAAACATCACCACTACGGCGGTCACGGTGCAGTTACATCACAAGAAGGCAACATTCTTTCATCACAGTTGCCAAGTACAGACCCCAAGGACCAAAACATCAAATAGCCTGCAACAAACAGCACGGTTGAAGGTGTAATAGATTGGAGTGAATAAGCTTCTTGAATTACTCTTTGGTTCTTTCGGTAAAGTCACGTAGAAAGATAATAAATTTAATAAGAGAATCCGACGTTTCGATTGCAACACAAGCAACCATCATCAGGTAGAACTAAATTTGAGAGAGAGACAAAACACAGACACGGAGACACACAGAAAGACACACAAGCAGACACACAGAGAGAGACACACAACATAGACACAACAGAGACCCAATGCCTCTGTGTCGAGGCCTTAAATAGAGAAAGAGGGGGAGGGGTGGTTGGGCAGAGAAAGAGGTGGGTCTGTTGGGGAAGCTGCTGGAGCAGAGAAATTAGCATGTCAATGAATCCACCCCAAAGTGACTGAGAGAAAGAAGATCGAATGGCCCTATGAGAGCCTGGTAAATTTTAGAGAGATAAATAGTTTGAGAAAACAAATTTTTTGAAAATCTTTTGGAAATGTAATGTAATGCGACACAGAGAGTCGGCTACTACACAGTTAACGCATAGCCTGGTTGATTACCATCTCCAAAGATTGCTAACATTTACAATCGAAACGTCTTACTCTATTATTTAATTTATTTTCTTTCTACGTGACTTTACCGAAAGAACCAAAGAGCAATTCCTGCAGTCACGAAAGTTTCAAATCAAGTTTCTTCTTGAATTTAGCAAGGTTACAACAATTAGTCATGGAGTGAGTAAGTAACTGCAGGATTGTGCCTTTATCTAAACTCCGCGCCACGGTAATCCCACTGACCTGTGTTATTGGTGAGGGTTGCCAGGCTTTCAGTTGAGATGGTGCTCTGGTGGTAGAAGAGGGCGACCGCTCCAATCATCAGGGTGATGTTCATGATCTCAGCCACATTCATGGGGTTTTTGAAGTATTCAAACTTCTCCTTCGTGATGCTGAAGATGACGCTCGTGAGGAAGTACATGCTTATGATGAGGTAGAAGATATAGGCCACGTTGTGTAAGATGATGTACGAGGTACTGTTATTAAACAAACGGAAAACTTTCAGGTTTGACGATGGCTGAAACACATCTGCAGAGGAAAGAAACACCAGAAATAAATATTTACTTTTCAAAGAGAGTTCATGGTCTCAACTCGGTCACAAATGACTGCTCCCAAAGAAAACCAATAACATTCAATTCGGTTCTGCAAATTTGAAAAAACTTAACCCAAGTATGTTGTACACAACCCATTGGCCGCACGGCCTTCTGGGAGTGCGTAATTTAATTAGCATTGATTCAAGACAAACTCTGAACTTGTTTCAACAGTGTCTCACCAGCAGTCAGGCTTGCTTGAATCAATTTTGGTGAACCGCTGGTCTTACAGGCCTCTCTTTAGAACACGATGGTTAATTTAGCAGGTAGGGGGCGCTCTCACCTGCCCTCTAGGGTTTCCTCTGGGTAATGAAGGGGTACACAACCATGGAGTCTCTTTTTCTGTACGCTGCGACGTGTGAACTTTTTTATTACTCTTCTTCATATCTATGGGACCTTTTACCAGTATCAAAATTATGTAAAAAAATAAAAGACTATACCCTTTCTGACAATAAAACAGGTGTTATGATGTTCAAAGACCAAATGGACACCTATTGCAAGGAATCAAGTCTGCATTAACCACACAAACTTGTGGCAAAACATACAAACATGCTTTGATAATATATGCATTTTATTTTAAACTTATTGGCATACACCAGAGACAGCCTTCTTTATGGCATTGTCTCACCAGTGTTAGCCCAGAGAATTCCAAAAGACAAAGTACAAAGGCAATGCAAGTTGCAAAGTATTATTAGCTCGGGTTGAGCAGTTATATCTATGGGACCTTTTTGCAAGTATCAAAAGTATGAAAAAAATATGAATAAACTTACCCTTTCTGGAAATAAAACAGGTGTTAAGATGTTCTAACACCAAATAGAAACCTTGTACAAGGCATCAAGTCTGTATTAACCACACATACTTGTAGCAAAGCATGCCAACAAACATGCTCTCATAATATATGCATTGTATTTGGAAATGATTGGCCAAAATTAGGGATGGTCTTCTGTATGGCCTTGCCTCACCAGTATTAGACCAGAGAACACCAAAAGGCAAACAGTACAAAGCCAATGCAAGTATCAAATATTAATAGCCCGGGTTGAGTATTTTGATACCATAAAAAAGGTCTCGTAGATAACAGAGCATGTTTGGTTGCATGTTTTGCTACAAGAATGTGTGGTCAATGCAGACTAGATGCCTTGAAATAGGTATCTATTTGGTGTTTAAACATCTTCAACCCTGCTTTATTGCCAGAAAGGGTGAAGCCTATTCTTATTTTTACTCTTCTTAAATGCGCACAATAGAAATAGGCACCTCCACGTCTCTGCTATTGTAGCAATCGTGTGAGTTGTTTGTTTTTAAAGTGCACCCTATTTGACATAGGTATAAACAACACGTGTATCTACACGGGCAGTCAACATTGACTGGCCAGCAGGTGACTTGTGTCGTAACCTGATATATGCACCATCCAAGTGGATGATTCAGGCCTGGACAGTGTGCTACACATGTTGTGTTTTACAGAATTTAAAAATAAACAAGTTGTCGCCATCATAAATCTGCAGCCCCTCATCTCTTCATTTGGAAGGCGCAACACAAATGTCTTAACATGGCATGAGCTCGCTACTCCCTCCCTCACTTCCCACCCGCACGGAACCCCCGTGGCTCCTATCGATGTATGTCTTTCCGCCAGCCATCACGCCCCTCACCTGCCGTCAGGGATTCAACCAGCACCTCAACAAGGCAGAAGAGGTTGGCGTTTGCGTTGTAGATGATAAACTGTGCATAGAGGCCCGTGGTGCGGGCGTCCATCCACGAGTTCTGCTCGAGGTAGCTCATGTTGCCACTCGCCTCCACGAATGTCAGTCCCAGATCGGCGATGTAGCCGCTGCCGATGAACGTGTTCAATTCGCCTGTGGGTTGGACGCCGGGGAGCAGGGCGAGATACCGAGAGGAGGCACAAACAAGCGCCGAGGTGAGGCCAGCATTTATATGGTGGGCATTGATTGTGTAAGTCAAAGTCTTAGTCTGTCAATCAATCAATCTTTAAAAACGTGCCAATGTCACCCTTAATAAAGTATACATCAGTGCACATAATAATAGAACGGGAATGGTACAGGGGCATATGAAACCCGGCACACCCTCAGCAGAAAACACAAACTGAGCAAAGCGAATTGCAACCACTTTGCATAGACCACGGAATTGAGAGACACTGGGTGCCTTTAAGACGTCTGGTAGCAGGGTATTCCAGATTTAGACTGGTGGATGACTTGTAAAGTTCTAGTCAAGCTTCAGTCTATGTAAATCATCGAGTCATTCTCTCAACAGCTCCATGAAAAGGTAAGAGGCAAAGGTGCAGCTCTGTAATTAAATGCTCACGCTTTTACTAAAGAGAGTTCGCAAAGAAACCTCTAGACAGCCTTATTTAGAGTTTTTGGCCTCATCTTCCACGATGGCCAGACATCTTGGAAGATGTGGGAGTACCCACACTTTATTCCACCTCATGACCTGTCTATCGACTGTGGTTGTACTCATTCATACTGATGCATGGAGAGCATTTGCGCTGGGAGATTAAAACCAGTGACCTCTGGGTTACAAGTCCTTTATGCTGACCATTTCACCACTGACAGGCGTCCCATACAAATGGACTTATTGGAAATAATCGATGCTCATAAGCACTGCTAGATACGTGCATCGCGAGGGAAATCAATGAATCATTGCATCGTTACATCCCCAGCGAGTGTTTTGTTTTTGCTGTACCTAGTTTGACAGACACGCTGTTCCAGTGCATATCCTGGATCTTCCAGAAGTTGTCTTGTGGTTGAGGGATATAAGATGATTTTGTGTCAATATCTTGCCATCCTTTGCTGTAGTTGTTGCTGTCCCGGTTCAGCAGATTGTCCATCCCGAAGCATTTGCTGGCGCTATCCTTGAACTGACAGGAATTTCCCTTAACAGCTGATGGGAAAAGAGGGGAGAGGTGTGGAAGATTAGGCAACACTGTACTTTATACAATTCAAAAGGTCTCAGGGGCATGGCTGCTTTGTGTTAACAGCCCCACACTTCGACAGCAATACGGCAAATAAATACTGTACATTGACATGGAGGTAACATGGCCCCAGTGGCAGCACATGCGCCACTGTTGCAGAGGTTCACAGTTTGAAACCCTGGTTATTCCTGCTGTGTGTATTAACTGTGATAGTACCATGTGCGGCCAGCTTCACAGCGGACGTTACAGATCCCCTGACTTCATTCGCAAGAGGAGGCCATCGTATGCTGGCACCATGATCTAAATATGAAAAAAACACAAATGACTAAATTGCAATATACATGGCGATCATTGCCACATGCTGCAAAAAATTTGGCAGGACCCTCCTGAAAAAGTCACGAGCCTCTGGGGCTTCCTGGGTAAACAAGAGTAATACATTAATACCTCGGTTAACGAAGCCTCTGAGAACGAAGCTCCTTCATGACGAAGTCGCCCGTGGAGAGCTCCTTTCCCCCCATATTTTTGCTAAAATTTGGATAAAAAACTATCTTCAGAAATCATGCAAAGTGTTTCAAAAGAGTAACCTGTTCAATGATGCACTTGCCTTGTAAACACAACCGAGTGGGGTTTGTTTACATTATCAGCAGTCAATCACTGAAGAGCTATTTTGCGAGTCTCCATCACTTGGCCCAATCAGCAGTGCACTTCGCAAGTCTTCCCTCTCCTGCCAGCCATTGCTCAAGCTCCTTGTATTGGTAAAATGTTATCGTGTTTTTTTGTATTACCCCCATTATGTAAGCCAAACGGCCATGTAGTGCTCGTGGCCTTTCTGGATCAAAACCTGCAACATAAATCCATCTCTTTGGAAACGAAAATGCAGATTCAAGAGAAGTCAATTGTGAGTGTTATTTTATTGTATTCTTATTTACTGAATTTTTTATTTGGATTTCTTTTTTTAAGCTGATGTAATGTTTTCAGTCACATTTTAACCCTATTTTTGTTCGTATTTAATTATGTTCTCCGATTGCACCTCCCTTCTCTGAAGTACTGGAACGTATCCCTATGCCTCCCATGTAATATGTACCTCTGGTAATGAAGTTTCTCACAGAGAAGTGATGTAATGGAATGCATCTACTTCGTTAATAGTGGTATTACTGTAATATACATTTTTTTCTCAGCTGTATTCAAGAAGTAAAGGCAAGGGGAGTGAGGTGGTCACAAGAACGAGTCCACACAGGAACCCGCGTTGGGCAATGCTGCACAACAACGAAAGTGAATAAAACATGAGGAGCGGACGACGGAGAATTGAAGCAGGGGGATTGATGCATTGGGAGGAGAGCTCGAAGAGAAACAATTAAGACTGTGTGAGGCAGCAATCCTGGCTGGAGAAAGAGAACCACAGATGATAACGTCATCGCGTTACATACATAGTCACGAGACAGATCGATCGATATCCATTTGTGCTTTTGAGATCACCCGACGCAGGCCTCATTATCTAGAGATGAGGCGTGGCTTCTAACGCCCTGCATTAGAAGGTGGCATTCCTAGACGTTAGCACCGAGCCGATCTTGACATGCACAAGGATGCAGCACAACGCCCTGCAGAGTGATCATGTCATGTGCCAGTGAGACTCTCCAGAGGTTCATTCCATCTGGCCGTTCACATCGTGCGAACAATAAACGCAATTTGTTTTTTCCGGCTGTCTGAAAAAAAATTTTGCAGTCATTGTTGATTGGTCTGAGACCATCAAACTGCTAGACTGTGGAACCTGGTTTAATCACGGGTGTCTGCAAAAGCACCAACAACAGGAGCAAAAACAACAGTAGAAACAAGAACAGAAACAACAACAGAAACAGCATCAGCAACAACAATAACAGAAGTAACAACTACAACAAGAATAGCAGCAACAGCAACTACAGCATCAACAACAGCAGCAAAACACCTTGCAATGGCGATGCTGCGACTTCTACTGCTGCCCGGCTGCTTGTGGCCGGGCCCTGCTCTTGTGGGTATCTGGTCAAGCAATGACTTCCCTCTTCCATGGAGAATGGAGGGCCTATACCGGAGATTTATCTTGGCATGGATCGATAAACCAATTCTATCTCACCCAAACGTCGCCAATACTGGGGTGGGACTCACTAGCAGACTCGACCCAGTATCCAACCTGCAGAAGGGGAGAGTTGATTGACCGACTTTCCAGCTCAATCTATTTTAGTTACGCACCTGTTGTGCTATGACCTGCTGTGGAAATGCTGACCCCTACCCGACCGTTCTCGTCACTAGTTGCAATGCCTTGCACATGATTGTGCTGCAGATCTGATCAATTCTTCTTCCGCCCTACATCCACACAATCACAGAAGAGCATCTTCATCGTAATACTACTGCTGATGTTGGGTATGAGGACCTTGGACCAATGCTTGTCAACCTTGGGTTGGTCAATGCACACTCCATTGTCAACAAGACGGCACTGATCCACGATCTGATCAAAGATTGTGGACTCGACATATTGGCTGTTACCAAAACATGGGTTTTTATCAACTCACCGGATGTCATTAAGTGTGATGCTGCACTTAACGGATATGCTATTGTACATCAGCACCGTCATAGGAGGCCTCGCAACGGTAGCCCCACATGTTAGTGGGATTGCACTGATTTACCATTAAGACATCTGCGTCAAATTCCTGAGCGACTCATTAACAATCACATAATTCAGCTGCTGCTTGTGAAAATAACGAACAGCATGCAGAGGCTTACGATTCCTGTCATATATTGACCGCCGTCTTCACCGCTGTCGGAATTATTTCCGAACTTTCTGATCCGCTAGACCAGGGGTCGGGTTACCTTTTTGACTGAGAGAGCCATTAAAGCCAAATATTTCTAAATATATTTCATTGAGAGCCATATAGTAATTTTAACGTATAATAAATTAAATGTGTTTTACTTTTAATGCGACTTCTGGTCACGGGACCCGTGACCCGATAAATTTTATCTTCAAAACTAATTTCTGTTTACTTTAAAATGACACAGTATTATTAAGCAATATCACAAGTATTTTAAAATCAGTTCCAAACTGATTTTATTATTATTTTTTTATTATTATTTTTTTCAACTCAAAATTGTCTGGGAGCCATATGCCGTCACCGGAAGAGCCATGTATGGCTCGCGACCCATAGGTTCCCGACCGCTGCGCTAGACTGTGGGTCATGTGGGTCTCAATACATCATCTGTGGTGCTCTGAACTGTCCCGGACCGACTGGTTCTTGTGGCAAAATCAACGATGCTCTCGCCGAGATTATCAACAGTTACAGTTTAACCCAGCACGCTGCTCGGGAAACATACTGAATCACATCTTCACATCCGCCGATGCCGTAATTGTGACCGCCATTGTTATAAAGATGTGGGTATTTTAGATGACCGTGTCATAACATGCAAAGTGGCATGATCGATTATTCACCAACCTCATCACAACGATATCATACAGAGATTGGAAATGACTAGACCATGATGCTTTCCATCAGAATATCTGGTCATTATCGGCATATCTAAATCCTGCAACGACAGTCGATTCATTTGCAGCTCAATTAGAAATGAGATCACTGCTGTTCTTGATGAACTCGTATCCATCTGAACAAGCACAAAGGGAACAGGGAAAGCGCTCAATAACTGGCTATCACTGGAGGCAACTGCTGCATAGCAGACCCAGAGGCAGCTGGATCATCTTTGGAAGAAAACTAGTTTTAAAAATGTCTGACTCTCTTACAGAGCCACCTGCAGATTTGTCAATCGACTCATTATTAAGTCTCGCAGAATGGTCTATGCTCTGTGCGTCAATGAGTCGATTCGTGACTTGTGGAGCGTCGTGAGGGTCTGCTGCAATCCAACCACCCATCCATCAACTAGTAAACCTGGTCTATGCATAGTCTTGCAACGTTCTTCGCCAATACAATAGCGATGATCAAGATGGCAGTTTCTAACTTGAAGGCAAAGCATTACTCCGGTATGCCATGAGTTTGATCGGTGGCATAGGTGTTGATGTTAATCGCACGGCTGCCAAATAAGACAATTGCCACTCAACTACATTCATACTCCGATTGGCATGGTTGGCTACATATAGTGTAAAATAAATTTAACATACACACATACATACATCAATTCTCCAATCCTGCTCAGATGTGCTTGCGCCGCTGATTGTCCACCTGGCAAATTGTTCATTCAGCGAGGGCTGTTCTCCAGACCTGTCCAAAATGGCGCAGCTGATACCGCTCTTGAAAAAAGTTGGCTTGAGCCATGGTGACCCCGCAAACTATCACCCGATCTCAAACCTACGTATGATTTCAAAGGTCATAGAGCACCATTTTCTGAAACAGTTACTTCCCCACGCCGCTGCGATGGGCAGACTAAACCTGTTGCAGTTGGCGTACCGGAAGTTCCATAGCACTTAGACGGCTCTACTAAAGATCACTGATGACCTCTATAAGATCATGGATGACCGATGTGCCACAGCGATGGTTAGCCTTGATCCCTCAGCTGCCTTAGACACCATGGACTATGAGATACTCATTGGGAGGCTAAGGTAAAGGCTTCGTGTATCAGGTACGGTTCTGGGGTGTTTGATCACAGTTCGTTAAGCTGGGTGATGAACAGTCATTGCCGATGCAGTGCTTAGTTGGCGTACGTCCCCGGGTCCTTCCTATTTTCGACATACGTCTCTCCGATCGCCGATGTCATCTCGGCGTATGACATCAAGTTCTACAAATATGCTGATGATACACAATTTTACAACACAGTGAAGTCAAAGTTAGATATGGAGAGCCTCGGTGATCTAGAAGATTGCAAACAAGTGGTGCACCTGTGGTTTGCACGAAACTAAATCCTGCTTAATCCAGGCAAATTGGAGGTTCTGCTCGTTGGCACTTGGACTCAGACAAAACATATGTGCGAGGATCAGGTGTGGCAGTGGCTGACTCCAGGATTCAGTTTTCTACTCATCTAAACAGCTTTGGCACCATACTCGACCAGGACATGTCGGTTAATCACCACGTGCAAAATATGGTCAGATCCTGCAATTTTCATATCAGGGATTTACGACACATTCGGCCACTATTGAGTTGCGACCTAGCCAACACGATGGCATATAACATAATATTGACAAGGCTCGATTATTGCAAATGACTACTCTGTGGGATACCTGACAAGAACATTGGCACGTGTCATAGGTACTACAAGATATACAGCCATCGTGCTGTGACGGTTCCACCTGAAGACGGAAGCTTGTGTTGCCTCCGAAACGTCGTGATTTTTATTTAATTTTTATTTTACTTTTATTAATTAAAATTTTTACCTACGTGACTTTACCGAAAAAACCTAAGAATATGAATCCTTGCAGTCACGAAAGCTTAAAATCTAGAATTAAGTACTACAAGATCCAACCATGTCCGTCCGGTGCTTGCTGAGCTGAATTGGCTTCCGGTTGCTGAACGAAAACAAAAGGTCGCACACGTTACACACAGAGTGCTTGCCGCAACTGAACCACAATATCTTGCTGATCTCGTTAAGTAGCATAAACTATCACGCACACTCCGTTCATCCTCACAGTGGCTTATGGCGAACCATCGAACAAAGACGGTCACTGCCCTACGTGTTTTCAGATGGGCTTCTGCGACCGTTTGGATCGCTCTTCCTTCCGATATTATTAGGAAGCTACTGAAGATATTACTTTAAATCTAAATTGAAAACTCATTTCTATAGAACAGCTTCTTGTGTTTGGTTTGTTGTCCTTCCTCCGCAGCTACGATGAGAACAGTTGGCTACGTACAGCGCAAAATAAGTTCAACATACGTACATATATAAGTCTGGGTTCAAAGGCAATATCTAATGAGATGATAACGGATCAGTCAATACAGGCAATCCTGCAGACAATCTTAGCTTGGAAATCTGCACTGTGAAAACGACAAATGCATATTAAAAAATCTAATCGTGAGTATATTTGATGTGTGCACCTTTTTTAAAGAGTGCAGGCTGTCACAACGATGCTATGTCTCAAAGACGAGTATAGTGTGTGGGTTTTATCGACACAGGTATTTTGCGAGAAATGTTTGAAGTTGATAAATTTAGGCCAGGGTGTTGGCATATGCGGACCACTCATTTTATAATAATAATAATAATAAGGAATAATTCAAGTCAAATCTGAAGTAAATGGTGGGTAGTTGTTGGTTAATACACCCAAATTATTAACCAGGGCAGCCTCTGGGCTAACACAACAAACCTCTGCAACAAATGGCAAACATAACACCGCTCAGCCATGCGACATCATGCTTGTGGCCAATCTGCCAACCGCTGCACCTTTGGCTTTCCTGAACTGTTGGAGGCGTAGAGGCCCCACTCGGTAGCTTTCCAGAGCTGCCACGAAAGCGATCCCAGAAGCCTTTGCTGGCGCCTGTCCTACTTCCGGGTACAGGTTAGGCAGCACTTTTGAATTCAGCCACTTCCACAAGTCTTTCTGGTCCGTCACCTGCACCAACAGAAGATAGACAAGGTTAAACCTACGGGTTTTCACCTCTGAGACACAAAAAAACGGGACATATGAGGAGAAAAAAATCTCACAAGACTGGGAAGAGGAAAAAACATGTAAAAATCCATCGTCTTGAGTGGTGTATGATTAGGCAACTGACAAAATCCGGGATTTTTTACGTCCCGGAAAGACTCACAAATTCCGTAAGATGATGCCACATTAATTGACATCATCGGATGTGTGCATGGCATGTGAAGTCCTTGCCATAGTAAAAAGGCTTCACCCTTAAAATATATTGCCAAGTTCTGGTCAACTCTATGATAAATGTGCCCAGTTGTCTTAGTCGACCTAGGGGAGGCCCATGACCGGTTCAAATAATCGTCACCGGTGGTGGCCATGAGCAGGAATCAAACTCGGGTCGCCGGGTTCGTAGCGCAGTGCGCTACCCACTACACTACCGCTCTCCCCACACACATGCGTGCGCGTCCATAGGTACACATACACGCGCTTGCTGCAGACACACAACTTTCAGGGTGCGTACGGCAGTAAACGACTGAAATAATAAAGCAATGCTGCGCGAAGAACGCCTAAGACCTGCAACACATTTGTATTTCACTTTACCCGCGGAGGGTTGGGGGGTGACATGAGCAGGCACACTGCATTACGCTTCCGCATACGGGTCACGTCACAGATGTGACGTCACTTGCCATGCAAAATATATGCATTATTGCGCCCCCCCCCCCCCCCCCCAAAATACAAAAGTCTCTTTTTAGAATTTTTGCATGGTGTACAGTCTGGAAAGTACCCACATGGCAAATTTCAAGTTTGTTGCATGTCGGGAAGTACCCTAAACATTTTTAACAGGCACACATATTCACACACTTCCTTTATATATAGATAAATAAAGAAGTCGACTGTGAGGTCCTTTAAACAGAAGGTGATTGCAATCAGGGAAAGTGTTGCGGCTAGTGCTAAAATGATTACTGTGCATTGTTATTAAACACCTGCATCTCCTGAATTATTCACTACCACCTCCACCATTGTCAAACCATCATCATCATCAAAGGTAATGGAAAAACACAGGTCTTTCAAATGTATGTTTTCATTGCAGTCCTTGTTATTAAACATTTACCATTTCCCTCATGTTCACTCGTACCAGGAATGTAACCCAATTTTTCACATTGGAACAAGGTTTCTGCATTCATAAAGTCTGCATTCGTGAATGTTTTTCACGAACGTAACCCTCGTGGATAGAGAGGGTTGACTGTTAATATTACTGTCGCTGCTGTCATGGGGAAAATGCAGCTTGCCTTATCGAAGGAGCTATCGGTGAAGGTTCTCCTCAGCATGCGGTGCATCAGGAAGGTGTGGTCGTCGACACGCGTGTACACGATGACCAGCAGCACCGATATGAGCGCGAGGTACACGGCGAATTCCTTGAGGTAAGAGGAGGCTGCCTTCTCCTGGCTGACCGCCTCGCGGATCTCGACCAGAGTCTCTGCTGGAGGAGGGCCCGTTATGTAGTCCAGCTCCGGAAGCTCGACAGCATCATCCTCCAGGTCTGCAGACAAAGGTAAAACGGTAAAGGTGCAGCCCTGCAATTGCTCGTGCGCATGTCTGCTGGCAGAAGGCCTCCACGAGAAGGAACTCTGTCGAGCCTATAGAAACAAATACACTCATACTCTCTGAAAACACACGTCATAAGTTACACCCCGTGGTCAATCCACTGCTGGATGGAGGAATTCGGATGCCGTGGCTGTTGTTCTACGGGCTGTTCTCCAAGATGAAGTAATGAAACTCTATGGTATCCACTTCTCTGGGCCGTTCTTTTCACAAGAACGGTTGCTCTGCTCTGCAAGATATCCGTGAGGGTACTTCCGTGGTCTGAGATGATGCCGAGAACACATTTGGAACAAATGGAATACACTGGAAAAATAACCCATAGACATTTGAGGGTTAATAATTGTCATAATATTATAATATACAACACTTATTTATATGTATTATTAATTGTGTTGCAAAAAAATAAAGTTGCAGTCCTTGCAGATGCTTGCCTGTGTAGTGACATAGAACGGTCACTACTGTGTCGGCCCGTACGAGGGCTGGGGGCCCCAAGGGGGTGCCTGGGGGGTCACGTGGTGGAGGGATCCCGGACCTTCCCAGAGGTGGGGGAAGGGAGGCGTGGCCTGGGAAGGGAGGCGTGGCCTGGGCAGAGCCAGCTACGCCTGGGCGGAGCCGGCCACGCCAAAGCAGATATAAGCGTGGTGTGAACGCAGAGCGAGGCTGTTGTACTGTACTCCGAAGTGAAGACATCATCGGTCGTCAAGTCCCGAGTCGTCGTCCTGGGCCAGGCAGGCCATTGCCTGCCTGGTCCACTCTGTGTCGTGTTACAGAGTGTTAGTGAGTTGAGGAAGGTGGTCACCACCTCATCTACAGTGTTATATTACTTACCGTTAATAAATAGTGTTGCCTCCAAGCTGCGTGTGTGTGCACCTAATTCGAACCCACTACACCTGCACCACCGCTGACAGAAGGGCCACCAATAGAGGGCACTCTGGAGAGCTCTTTAGATCCTGAACAAGCTCATGGCACATGGAGCGAAATGTCGGATATCATGCCAAACAGCACGCAGTACGATCCAAAAACACGCCTAAGAGCTGCACAGCACCACCATGACAATCTATGCAGTGCTTTGTTGCTCTAGTAATTGCAGTGATGTAATCATGTTATCAGGGTAGTGCGCCAAACCCCAGTCTCATGATTAGCACAGCGTTGTCAGGTGTGTCCTTGTGTGTGGTGGGAAACCCGGAGGTGTTTGTGTGTGCGTGTGTGTGGTGGGAAATCCATACTGCTCTCGTGCTTTGTGACCGGGCGAGGTAAATTTCTGTCCTCCAGGTAGACCAGGGTGTCCTGGTCCTCGTATTGCTGCTTTTTTTTTGCCACAATGGTACCCAACATCGACAGCCCGATCACCTGCATTCAAACAAGTGTTTTATAGTATGTACACACAAGCATTCAAGCAACCAGAAAATACATAGACTTTGAGATTTAAAACCAATGGGGGCCTAGTACTGTATTCACCAATCCGTGTGCATTATTGATTTGTTGGTCATTCTGATGGCAGCACAAAGAAAAGCTGTATCCATAATTTCTCAATCCCCATAAGTCCCATGCTAAGGTCCATCCATGGAATGTATTAATACAAATATATGTACAAACACACACAATGACTTAACATAAGCCATTGACATCATTATTATCGTCATCAGAAATGTATTAGGGTTTGCATGAATATCGCACTTAAATGCCTCAGTAACTCATAGCACCTTGCCTCACATCTCAAACATTCTAGTTCCCTGCTGCCGTCTAGCATTGGGGATCCCCGTGGGCAGCTATCTCTCTGTGGTACAAGGCATATGCAGCACTGGCCTGCTACTGGGCATTAGTATGACAGTGTGGGGGGGGGGGGGAAGTTGGGCTTTGTGGCTCTTCCCAAAGAGGTATTGTCATCTCTATGGGTTATTCCTCATTGTCACCATCATCGTCATCAACTAAAACATGTCTCTCGTGAAAAGTTTTGAACAATAAATGAGCAGACAATTGATCTTCAATTAAATGGTCCATCTTCCATGTAAAAAACATAAAAGTATTTATCTTCTTGATTCTTTCGGTAAAGTCACGTAGAAGGGAAATAATAAAATAATAAAAATAAAACATAATAAAATAATTCTCACGACGTTTCGCCTACAACGCAAGCAGCCGTCCTCAGGTGAAGAATCAAACACCACCAAGCTTGGAGCGTATATTTAAGCTGGGTTGGAGGGGGAAGAAGAGTGCCTTGACAAAGGAATTTGCATTTCAAGAGGAATTGAGCATATTTATGGGAAATGCGTAGGAGGTGGGGGGTTTCAAAGTCATATTATGCCCGTGCATTATGCAGGATTAGCAGCATCAAAGGGAGAGGATAGGGGGTAGCATTAACAAAGGGAAGGAATGTTAATAGTATGTAGCTGCAGTTACTAAACCACCACGTAAAAAAGATAAAGTATAAACTACATAGTATCATCAGTATACTAAATATACTATCCAATAAGCTGAGATACTAACAGTAAGTAATACATTACAATTCTATGTCGCAAAAAATATAACATGCTTCCAGCTAAACTTTTTTCTCTTACATCACACGGGTCTACCCCGTACTATATACTACCATAGACAAACTCAACATTAAATTATATACTGTATTACTATACACACTCTATATCTGTAACTATAATATTACCCTAAGTATTATTCTACCCACCCTACTGTATACCACACTGCTGTATATTCACTATACAATTACGATACTGTATTTTACCTTATACATTGTATTAAACATTACAATTTTATACTATTTATACAATCTGCTATACACTATACCATTGACCGTCGCGTGAAAGATACTAAGAGGAAGCAACGAAATATGTCAATGGTAGGAGACTTGCAGCGAAGCAAAGAATCCATTCCCTGTGGAGAATACAAGATATATAGTCAATGCCAGTGAGTGGACTGCGGTCTGAAAGTCACCGTAAACGTGAACACAATCAGTTAAGATCCGAAATGGTTTATTATGTTCTTCCAATGATTGCTGAGCCAGAATCCATCTTCCCGGTTGAAATTGTCTCTGTGTTTGTATATGTGGATCGCCTCATGAACGAATCTCTCATTGTAGCCAGATGGCTTGCAGAGAACCTCTGTCTTGGAGAAGTCAATGTCATGTGAGCCCACTGAATTGTAACAGTGATCTGCCATGGCTGAGGTGTTTGTCCTACCGTGTTTCAGGTCTGCTTTATGTTCACGGATGCGGTCCGAGACATGTCGTTTGGTTTCTCCAATGTAACTGCTACCACAGAGGCAACTTAGTTTGGAGACGCCAGGGTATTGTATGTCTGGAACCACATCTTTTACAGACGGGACCAGATCACGGATTTTATGTACTGTGTTGAATCGGACCTGGATCTTGTGTTTAATCAGGATTTTGGAGATCTTTTTTGTGACCCCAGCAATGTAGGGTAAGGTGATGGTTTTGAAAGGCTCTTCAACAGGATCCTTCTTGATTGTTGGAGTGATGGCTTTGCGGATTTAATTAGGACATCCAAAAAGGGTAGATTTCCATCTTTTTCGACTTCTATGGTGAATCTGATAGCTGGGTGTATGGAATTGATGTGGTCGAGGAATTGGTCTAGAGCAGGCCGGCCATGTGGCCAGATGTCAAAAGTGTCATCTACGTACCTCTTCCATAAGGTCGGGCGTAGAGTGGTAGTCTGGATGGCGTCAGTCTCAAATTTCTCCATGAAAACGTTGGCTACAACCGGAAATAGGGGGGAGCCCATTGGGGTGCCCTCAGTTTGTTTGTAGAAAGTTCCATTCCAGGTGAAGTATGTATTGGTTAAGCAGTGTCTCACCAGGGGGGGTACCCCAGTATTCGGTCCTTGATGAACCAAGTCTTCAATGATTGCGATGGTGTCAGGTACAGGAACTTTGGTGAATAAGGAAACCACATCAAAACTGACAAGCAGGTCGTCTGGGGACAGGGAAATTCCATTGATTGCAGAAGGTTTCAACGAGAACTGTTTGGTTTGATAAAACCAAACAGTTCTCGTTGAAACCTTTTGCAGCCAGGCCACCAAGGTTATATGGCCTGCCAAAGATACATAAAGAAGATACACCTCTTCGTCCCATTGTCTCTACTATCAACTCCCACACCTACAAACTGGCTCGTTCTTTGTCTGAAATTCTGCGGCCTTTCACTGGAAAAACCACCTCTGCGGTACTAAACTCTACTGACCTGGTATCGACGATAAAGGGAATTTTCCTGTCCCCAGACGACTTGCTTGTCAGTTTTGATGTGGTTTCCTTATTCACCAAAGTTCCTGTACCTGACACCATCGCAGTCATTGAAGACTTGGTTCATCAAGGACTGAATACTGGGGTACCCCCCCTGGTGAGACACTGCTTAACCAATACATACTTCACCTGGAATGGAACTTTCTACAAACAAACTGAGGGCACCCCAATGGGCTCCCCCCCTATCTCCAGTGGAAGCCAACATTTTCATGGAGAAATTTGAGACTGACGCCATCCAGACTGCCACTCTACGTCCGACCTCATGGAAGAGGTACATAGATAACACTTTTGTCATCTGGCCACATGGCCGGCCTGCTCTAGACCAATTCCTCGACCACATCAATTCCATACACCCAGCTATCAGATTCACCATGGAAGTCGAAAAAGATGGCAATCTACCCTTTTTGGATGTCCTAATTAAAAGGAGACCTGATGGTTCAATGAGCCATTCTGTCTACAGGAAAGCCACCCATATGGATGCTTACCTAAAACCGGATTCCCACCACCATCCATCCCAGAAGAACTCCCTCATCAAGACTCTATTCCATAGAGCCCAATGCATCTCCGACCAGGAACACATTGCCAGTGAACTTCAAACACGTACGCGAAGCTCTTAAGGCTAATGGTTACTCCGACTACACAATCCGCAAAGCCATCACTCCAACCATCAAGAAGGATCCTGTTGAGGAGCCTTTCAAAACCATCACCTTACCCTACATTGCTGGGGTCACAAAAAGATCTCCAAAATCCTGATTGATTAAACACAAGATCTAGGTCCGATTCAACACAGTACATAAAATCCGTGATCTGGTACCGTCTGTAAAAGATGTGGTTCCAGACATACAGTACCCTGGCGTCTACAAACTAAGTTGCCTCTGTGGTAGCAAGAATATTGGAGAAACCAAACGACATGTCTCGGACCGCATCCGTGAACATAAAGCAGACCTGAAACATGATAGGACAAAAACCTCAGCCGTGGCAGATCACTGTTACAATTCAGTGGGCTCACATGACATTGACTTCTCCAAGACAGAGGTTCTCTGCAAGCCATCTGGCTACCATGAGAGATTCGTTCATGAGGCGATCCACATATACAAACACAGAGACAATTTCAACCGAGAAGATGGATTCTGGCTCAGCAATCATTGGAAGGACGTAATAAACCATTTCGGATCTTAACTGATTGTGTTCACGTTTACGGTGACTTTCAGACCGCAGTCCACTCACTGGCATTGACTATATATCTTGTATTCTCCACAGGGAATTGATTTTTTGCTCCGCTGCAAGTCTCCTACCATTGACATATTCCGTTGCTTCCTCTTAGTATCTTTCACGCGATGGTCAATGGTATAGTGTATAGCAGATTGTATAAATAGTATAAAATTGTAATGTTTAATACAATGTATAAGGTAAAATACAGTATCGTAATTGTATAGTAAATATACAGCAGTGTGGTATACAGTAGGGTGGGTAGAATAATACTTAGGGTAATATTATAGTCGAAGGTATAGAGTGTGTATATTAATACAGTATATAATTTAATGTTGGGTTTGTCTATGGTAGTATATAGTACGGGGTAGACCTGTGTGGTGTAAGAGAAAAAAGTTTAGCTGGAAGCATATTATATTTTTTGCGACGTAGAATTACTGTTAGTAGTGTAGGGGTGTTACGGAGGGGCTGTTATACATGGGATCACACGGGAAACAAACACAGTGGGCGTGGCTACGTGAGTGCACGGGGAGGTGATCTCAACGACGTCCGCACCGGGGAGCCTCGGGGGCTGCCCGGAGTTGTAATCCCCCGGGGCCCCACCCCTCAGCCGGGGTTTGGTATACAAGGGGATGAGCCGGAGGGCTCGGGGTGATAATGTTAAGCTAAACCAGTGAAGACCGAAGACCGTCTAGATAGGGCCCTGGACTCCCCTGGATCGCCGCCCTTATCAGGGCCGAACAGGACCGAGCCAGCGGCGTGGTCCCGAGAGCCAGAGCCGGTGCTCTTATCAGAGCTGGTCTGGGACTCCGGGTACCGTAAGCCCGACTTACCAGTGTCGGGCTAGATCGCCTCCCCTAGCCCGTTAGTGGAGG